TAAAAAAGACAGTGGTATTGTATCTCGTTGAATTAGTTAACTGTTTTGGTCGTAAATTACGTATCAAAACTACGATTTACACTTTAATTGAATCTACTACAGTTAAAGTGATATTCTATTGAGTTTTTTTTGGCTTTTGTGTATTTATTACATTCGAAAGCATTCTTGGTCTGTATCAAAGTACTTTAGTTAAGGTTTAAAATCATGCTAAAGTTTTTCTTGTGGTAACCTTTTATTCGTTGGCTGACATTTTTGTTCATACTGTAATCATATTGTGTGTTACACCTTGATCTGACTAAAATGGTTGGTAGTACTCACAAATGTGGACAACCAAACTGCTTGTTCCCTGTGGAGGAGGGAATGCAGTGTGACGAATGCAATAAGTGGTTCCACAAAATATGCACCCGTTTAAGTCCCACAGCGTACAAAAGGTGTTCGAAGCCTAACTCACATAGGCTTTGCATGTTTTGCCGTGCCAACAAGGCATTACTAATACAGGAGGCTATGAGGCTCATAGCGCTCGTTGTCACGACAATTCCGACATCCGAGTTAGACCTGAGATGTCTCTCGGAGATAGAATAAAAAGGAAGAAAGCACTAGGTGAACTTGAAACCCGTCTGCAAAACGGTGGGGGGAAATCTCCGGCTAGTGGGTTTTCGGATAGTCAGGTCTTGGAAGCGAATGCTACCAAGGCCTGTATGGATAGGCTGTTCTACTTAGGAGTTTTATATGCCAACGCTCGTATTCTACGAAATAAGTTCTATGAACTAGAAGCACTAGTGGACAGGTTAAAGCCACTCATTGTAGCAGTGACAGAAACTTGGTTAGTCCATGACCTAGACATTACTTCAGAAATATCCGGATACCATTACCTCAGGAGTGATAGACATAGATGTAGAAAAGGAGGTGGCGTCCTGTTATATATGGCCAATAGCATAAATATCCGCTCCTCTACTAGCGAATCCCATGATAGCGGTACTTGTGAAGTCATTAGCTGTAAGTGGGCTATCGGATGTAGTGTGGTGTGAGCTACTTTTATTGATATAAGTAGTAGTATATAACGTGCGTTAAAAGAACGTTATGTCTGGCAGCGGAAGATGGCGAAGATCAAGAAAGGTAGAGCGAGAATGCAATGGAATTTGTAAGAAATCGCATGAGCAATGAAATGGGAGACAATGGATTAGTGTTTGCAACGGGAACAGTACAGTTTGATATGATGCATTGATATTTTGCAAATTAACGATTGACTTTATGGTATTCGGATTTTGTTGAGATAGTCTGTAATTTTCGTGCTAAATACATCTGTTTGTCCCCACCCGTGTTCTCGTTCACTACAGTAGTACATTTAGGCTTGGTGTCATCTATCGCAGCCCAATCTGCTTAGCTGATTACTTTATTTTAGAGCACATTCATCTTTGGAGTGCAAATACCAAATGCTTTATAATAGGAGACTTTAATGCACCTGATATTAGTTGGACTGAGATGACCACAGAAGGATCTATAAACTCCTTTGATAGTAGGTTCTTGATAACAGTAATGGAGCATGCACTAGTGCAGCATGTATCCAAACCCACACGTTTTGGTGTTAACCAGGGTTCTTCTCTGCTGGATTTGGTAATCACTCATGAGACTGAGGATATTGTCGACTTAAATATTCTCCCGCCGTTAGTGAACAGCGATCACACTGTTTTGTCGTTCGCGTTTAGAACTAGGGACATGTTATACGATCAGGTTACACCTAGCCCAAATGTGTGGAAAACTAACATATCAGCCATTCAGGAATGCGCTGCTAAGACAGATTGGTTTGTAGATACTAGCTTATCAGTTGAAGAAGCATGGTCTGTATTTAAAGGTAAGTTTAGTCTGGTTACTTCCCCGTTCATACCATACCTGGTGCCACGAAGACCGAATAACAGTCCACCATGGATAACTAAACCTGTCAGGTAACTTCTTAGGAAAAGGAAGAATCACTGGGATATGTTCATCTCTACTGACTTAGAACAATACAGATCCAGTTATTGTAAGATTAGGAATACCTGTAAAGCGTTAATAAGTAAGACTAGACTATCATACGAAAAACAATTGGTTAATGATTCTAGATATAGTCTGAAACGGTTATTCTCGTACATAAAAATGTGAACTCAGAGAAGCAATGGAATTCCATCACTTTTGATACAAGAAAATCCTTTAATCATGGCAGAAAATGATACCGAAAAGGCCGAAGCTTTATCGGAATATTTTAGCAAAGTATTTTCTATCGGTAATGAGGAACGACCAACGATTCATCGTAACCGTGACGGCTCGCTGATGGATCCTGTAGTCATTGAGAAAGGTACTGTTTTAAGGCTACTTCAGCATCTCAAACCTGATAAGTCCAGTGGTCCTGATGATATTCATCCTAGGATTATGAAAGCCATATCATATGAAATCGCTGAACCATTGGCGATACTATTCGACATGTCTCTGAGACAGTCCAGACCTCCTAGAGACTGGAAAGACGCTGTAAAAAGTCCGCTTTATAAGGCTAGGAGTAGGGATTTAGTTAGTAACTATAGACCCGTTAGCTTAACTAATGCAGTTGTAAAACTGATGGAGAAAATCATTCGGATATCCGTCCTAAACTATGTTGATGAGCATAATCTTTTCTCCAGGGAACAACACGGTTTTCGGAAAGGCTTATCTTGCTTGACAAATCTTCTCATTGCAAGAGAAGATTAAGCTGCTGCAAAAGATCGGAATGTTCCTGTGGATGTGATTTTCATAGATTTAAGTAGGGCCTTCGATAAGGTTTCTCACTCTGGTCTTAAATTCAAACTTGAACGTTTTGTAATCCATTATACAGTCGTCGATTGGATAAGTAACTTTCTCAATGACAGGAGACAAAGAGTAGGAGTTAATGGGGCCCTCTGTTTTTGGGTACCTGTAAAAAGTGAGATTCCCCAAGGTACAATCCTAGGTTATCTTCTCTTTTTACTATATGTAAATGAATTGCCAACTGTAGCAAAATCATCCGTCCTACTCTTCGCTGATGACATAGAGATTTGGAGACCCATACATAGTATGTCGGATAGAATAGTATCACAGGACGATCTTAGCTCATTGGTGGCATGGTTATACAGGTGGTCACTAGAAGTAAATCCTAATAAGAGTGTAGTGATGCAGTTAAATAACTTTGATGAATCGTATGACTATACACTACGTGGATCCGTGCTACCCAAAGCAAGAAACTATAAAGATTTAGGAGTCATATTAAGCAAAGATCTCAAAACCACTAGTCTCTGTAAGGCTGCTGCTGCAAAAGGCTATAGGGTATTATGGTCAATTCGTAGGTCTTTCCAGTATTTAGATGATGAAATGTTTAGATTACTATACCCGACTATTGATTGGAGCTTCTAGACATAGAAAGTCCATCTATATTGACATAAATTTAAAGAGTCAAAATCAGTAGTACACAACCAAAGCTCAACGTATCTTAGCAGATTGGTTTTCAATCCTAGATGGTAATAAACCCCACTGCCGATGAACTTTAGTTGAACACTTGGACAAGTCTTCAGAACACCTCTGATTCTTTTCGGTATGTCCGGGATAAGAAATCGTAGACCATACAGAACCCGATCAGCATCTCTTATGCTCAGAGATGTATTTGACATTATATACATCATAAAGTCGTTCATCAGTTCTTTGCGATTCACGAACTTTTGAGAGCACAAGTTCACTTCACTACATCCTATAAGGTATATATTCACGTAAGAATTTGATGTTCATACCACTATTATCTGAAAGCCTTTGATTGATGTTGCTAGTGGACGGTGTACTAGTTGAAGTACTTTCATTACAACTGAGTTCTCTCTTTACTTTTATAAAAAAAAAGTAAACAACATTGTTGAACTCAATTACCTTTTATGGTGCTGTCATTAGCAAACTCACTGAACGAAAGAAAGTGATATTTTTTCATGAAAGCAGCTTTCATTTTATTCCATCTTCTGTTATAAGTGGATCTATGACAGCCAAGGGAACGTGACAAGTTCGCAGTGGATCTAGGTCTACGAACATTCTCGCTGACTTCAATATAACTCATAGTTTTGGTCTTACAAGGTAATCAGTTACAATGAACATGGAAGTCTGAGAGCACGTCACTCACCTGCATCACGTAAGTTTTTTGTGATGGCTCCAAAGCATGTCGGAACACTTTAGCTAAACAACCAACGAAATCACTCTATATGCGTATCAACCGAAAGCCTGGTTCCGTATTTTGTGCATTGTTTCTATGACAATACTTTTGTTTTTTTATTAAGCGGTGCCTAAATTTGTCGGAGTTTATGAAAACTTCAGTTCCGGATGCGGTTCATTCAAACACTGTACGTTACGTAGAATTGTCGACAAATTTCCCTCAAATACACGACGTAAGGGTGAAAAAGCGACATTTCCCTTTTATTTACGCTTTCGTCCGCTTAATTTTCCCTTTCTTTGCCTTTATTTCCCCTTTTTGTGTTGCTTGGGATCTTATGAAGACAGACTGAGACACCTTCACTTATTTCCGTTATCTTACTGTGATCTAATATTGACCTATCGTATACTAAACGATGATCTTGGTATTAACATGTCTCATCTTTTGCATCCGTCTAGAGGACATTCGAAGAAAGTTCAAAAACCGAGATCAAACCGTTTACGTCTGGAGTTCCGTTTCTCGCACCGAGTAGTGAATAACTGGAATTCTCTACCGGAACACGTAATATCAGCACCGTCTGTTAATATATTCAAAACGAGGTCGGACCTCCACAGTATTACAAACTGCGACGATTAATATGGGTCGATAGACCTTCTATCCTTATTAATGAAGACTGAAGATAAATGATTGATAATTTTTCTTATGTATCGTCAAATATGCATAGGTTTTTGTCTTGAGGATCGGTGATCCACTGCTACTAGATATAGAAGCTCGTTAAGCGAAGGTTTCTTATATTCCGTCTACAATTATTTGAACCGTTCGAATCCGATGGCAGACTGTATTGGTGATTGAAAAAGTTGGCGCGCTCTTTGTATGTGTGCATCTGTGGTCAAAATTATCTTGGCAAGGTTGATGTGAAAGGTAAATCGTAAGTATCAGATTTCCCAACTTCATCCTCCACTGTTTGTTATATAAGAAAAGAACTTCAGTCACTTGTTCTTTCATTGTAATTATTCGCACAAACCACACCAATATATTTCAGTGATTACTAGTATATTAGAACTTACTGGAAGTACTTCAGTTTGTCTACACACTCATGTCTAGTATATTATGATTCTGACAATCAGTTTCTTAGTCATAGACTCAGAGGCGTATGGTAACTACGAGCTTGTCTGTGTTCCTCGGTTGTTAAATTAAAACATACATTGCAATCGTCTTCGGTCAAAAAACTCGCACCTTGAGGCATAGACAACAATAAAATACCAAACTAATTTTTATCAGTATTAACAAGTGAAACAGTTGGTTTTTTCAGCAAGGCTTAACGTGCTACTATACGGTATACCCAGGAAGTTCGCCTCTAATTCTCTGTCAAACAAATTATGTGCATAATTGATAGTAATTAACATAATGGTTTGGGTGAAAAACAATTTATTGACAATTTTACATAAACAGTTGTCAAAATTATTTACAGAAAAAGGTGCAGTGAGACTTCATAAAGAAATCGGTGGGCAGTTCATGTACATATATGAAGAAAGCTTCTTAGTTCAAACAAGGTACTCATATACATCAACGCTTACCTGCTATATTTAGCTAGTTTCAACGTACTCGATGCCAATGATTAGTTTAATGTGGGTCTAAGGAACATTTGTTCAACAAAAATTACTTATACTAAGGGTAATTTACACAATAGCAGCGTTTTCCTAACTTGAATTCTAAGATAGAACAGCAATTGACAGTTATGTTTTCTTTTGTTTCTTAAAGACGCTTATAAATTTTTCGTTATTCAATACGCTAATACGGCGAGACTCTAATTTATGGACGAGCCAATCAGAAGCGTTTTAGAGATTTCAAAGGGACGGTGCCAACTTCAGTACTTAATGCTAACGTACGATCGGTTCACAGGGGATTTTATACAAAACGTGATAATTGAGCGGCTATAACAAAAAACGGCAAGATTACAAGTTGTGGACGAATCAATCAGGTATAAGATAATAGGTCTCGGATTTTAACGCGAAAGCCTTTCATCCATTTGGCTAAATAAAATTTCTGGCAATATAGCTGATGTCAGTTCGTGATGAAAACTCCATATATAATTCATAAGGCAAATTACGACAGTTATTGCGAACTGGATAATAAAAGCACCAGTAACACTGGCTGCAGCCAGGTACTACAATATATACGGATGATTGGAGAGCGTACAGACTCTTACATAGGCTTGGTTATGTGCATCGTGTCGTTATCTGCAAGTAGCATTTTGTGCACTCATCAACCGGTGTGCACATATACAATATTGTAGCTATGTGGTCATGGCTAAAAGAGTTTTTGAGACTTGGTCACGGCTCCAGAGGCCGGCTATTCTGTAACCGTATGGATGATTTCCTCTACTGCATGCAATACGGTTTTAGAACCTCTGAACCTCTTTCTAACCTTGAAAAGTTTTTGAACCATGTATAAAGTGTATCCACTTTATTTCCTTGGTTTTGTATAACATATTTTTAATCTATACTGACTGTCTGGTGATTGGCTAATATTTTTCAAGGTCGCTTAAATTTCGTTCAAAGGTCGTCCATAAATTAGAGTCTCGCCATTCCGGAAGACGTGAGTCCTTTGGTTTTGGCAAACCAAATTGCTCATGTTAAGTCAATAGATAATTATATTGTCTCATGTTGCTACTAGCTTATGTTCTATCGTCTGCTTTTTAGATAGCTGATATCGTGCAAAATGTTCTTAGGTTATTGTAAGTTTTATTTTAACACTGATATTGGTACAAGGAGGCACCAAATACATATACGCCACACAAATCTCATTCGATATGTGTGAGGGCTGTGATACTGCCCGAGTGCCCAAACCGAAGCAGGTGGTTTTCTTAGGGGGCCACTCCTCAAACCTTCGACCTGAAGGTCTGGTCCACAAGGTAGTGGAGCATCGTAAGGAGATGCGGTCCCATGGAAGCCGGTGACCAACAATTGGTTCATACGCCATTTGTTCCTTCAGGATATTGAAGCCCATGTGCACCATTGGTTTGGAATCCAGTTAAAGCGCCGGACATTCGCTTTTCGTCCTCTCATTTTTGTAAACAACACCCCCGTCACGATAAGGCAATGAGTAGGACTTCTCTGGCAGAGGCTATATACGCTTGGCCATGTGAGAGTATTTCGAGAGGGAGGACGGACTGCCCCCACTCTCGGCCGTACCAGGGCATCTGGGGGCTGTTGTTCAAATCAGCCTCCGTACTGTAGCGTTACTGATATTCTCAACTTTTAAGTGTTTTGACCGCATGGAGTATAAAGTTTTAAACACTTGAAATTTTTAAAACTGTCATTGGCGAAGTGTTTGTGAATCGTGCATAAAAGACAGTGGTATAAAATAACGTATTCTTTTATATTTAATTGACTTGTTATGCTATACGTGGATGCTTCTCATATGTGTCTCATGCACTTGTATCGACAAACTGATAGGTGTTAGTGTGGTGGCTTTATTGAAATACTAATCAGTGTTTCAGCGTCACTAGTAACTTTCTCCGATATTTGCATATGGTCTCTTTCTGTATATCACTGTTGGTGACCAGTGCTTGATAACAAGGAAATATGGTCGTTGAGGTCGACATCGTTTTCCATGTTTAGAAAATATTGACTTGTCAAATTTAATGTGCACTAACACTCCTACATAGAAACAAATGTAGACCAATTTTTTGATTTTTCAACGCTTTCCATCAATATGACACCTTAGTATTTGGTATATTTGTAGTAGGATAATTACGAATTTCCTTGTTATTTTAGCATTCCGGGAATCAACCTTTCAAAAGTCATTTCAACTGTTTATCCTAATCTGCTTGCACTTTGGTAAGCCGTAACTAATCCCAATGAGTATGGATTACAGAGATTACTATTCCAACTGATCAATCGAAATTATCATGTGGCGAACCATCCATGTTTGGTGGTCTTGTGTTCTTGGTCCATCTCTCTATAGTGTTCCACTAATTGCAACATTTCAAGTATTTCTACTTTTTTTCATAACGATTTAGTCGATGGAATATAACCCCAATTTTTTGGAATCGGCATCTAACTGTGCCATAAAAATGCTTCAAATAACGGCAGGAGTGATTAAATGGACTGTTCTGTTCTGGAGTCCCTGGGCGTTTAGAAATCGTATGCTTACTTATAAATAATTTAATTATTACTTCATAGTGAAATTATATGATAATTTTTTCGAATTCTCTAGATTAGTTGCTGTAACACTTACTATATATTTTTCGGCCCTTTTACTTAGAGGTTAGAGCGTTTGATTCGGTTAACGTTTGCAGGAACTGGAAGGTTTTGTAATCATACTTATCAGGAGTTTATGGCTTTATTTTTGGAATCTAAGGAAACGATCAATGAGGAGACGGTGGTAATATGTTTTAGTATCCTAAATAAGTGTTGCAGAATAAACTAACGCTCTACACTTTTAGTTCTCCGTGGCCTGTCCATTTTGATGTCCGACAGTTACCTAGTATCTCCGTAAAACCAAAAAAGATCACTCCTAAACGCATATCAGATGTACCCACATTATTTGTGCCTTTGGTGTAAGTCCTTTAACTTTATTTCTAAATGTTTTGATGTTACTGACCTCGAAATTGTATTGGACCTCATGACTTGAAAACAGGCTTCCGCTTGTATTTTAGCCCGCTTTGCAACTACGTTATTATTACTATTATTATTAATGGAAACTTCACAAATTATAATCATGAGTCAGTTGAAGCTAGACCACCATTGAAAACCTGGAAGCACTGGACGGCCGTTTCGTCCTAGTGTGGGACTCCTCAGTGCTCGCGCGCGAAGCCAGTAAATCCTGGGTTCGAGCTCCGCGTTGTGCGGGATCGTGGATGCACACTGCTGAGGAGTCCCATACTAGGACGAAACGGCCGTCCAGTGCTTCCAGGTTTTCAATGGTGGTCTAGCTTCAACTGACTCATGATTTCAATCTGTGAAATTTCTAAAACTCCACAAAACCCATTCTGATATTATTAGTGACTTTATTCAATATTATATTTTGGTACTATATAGAAAGTTATAAAAATCATTTATTGATTTGACTTGAAATATTGGTTTATTAGTTATGATATACATTAGTAAAAGCTATATTGATCGTCTGAAACAAATCCTATTGGCTTGTATTATTTGTGAATAAGTAGGCTAATGTAAAGTAAAATAAAACGTCATTTATTTTATTTATTTGTTTATTTATTTATTTGTCATACCAATGAAATCACATCCTTACAACTTTTTAGTTCTGATTATTTATATATCATCGTTGCGGTGTTGCCAGGACTTTCCTGGATTTTTATTATATGCTGGACATAGTCTGTTGAGTGTGTTGCGTATACTTGACGAACAAAACTTCGTATTTACGTATCTTCTGTATTGTCTTCGTTTCATTTCCTATCTAACGTAACTAATTTTCTGTGACTGCTCTTTAATACTTAGCAGACCATCCTGTTAGTATTACAGTATAATTATAAATCCGTATGCTTTTAGCTACATATATTGTGTCATCTATATATTTAAACAATGACTTTTTTCTTAAATATATCAGGGACGGTTGAAAATTTTAGGGATTTTGGACTAAATCTGTCAGTAAGAGATTCATGAAATATTACTCTTTACTGGTTTTTATGTTTTGATTTCGTGTCAATAAAACGTGTAGTACTAGCTTATTCATTCAATATTTTAATATTTCAAGTTATTGGCTATTGGTAAAATATAAGGGTGGGTGAAGAATTTTAGAACTTCTCAATCCTGATTATAGTTTGAGTAATTATAATTTCAGTTGCTGAGATTATTTAAATCTGGTTTTTATGTATTTTGTACTCTATATAATGGATGCTTAATTTCTGTAAAACTTGCACATTTCGCCAATTGTCCATGTAAATTTTTGTTATATTGTCCGTAGTTGGATTATAGCTCACACTATTGGTATCCGTATGACATATGTTGGATGTACATGGATTTTAAATTCTCTTACATGTAAGTCAAGTGTGAATGTTCCCAACCTTTCCCTTGAGGTTTTACTATTTTGATCATATTTTATCGCAATATGATTACACAAATAAATATCATACAAAATATCACATACTATACTTTAATTTCCGTTACTAAATTCTTTTCCTACTTCATTACTCTTAGTTTATTCTACGAAATGCGTAAAAATTCTGTCAATAATCTAAAGTGTCGCAATGCATATTTTAACTCTTCAGGAGTCTAAGTTTGTGTCTTTTCAATCGCAGAGCCTATCTATTTGCTATGTTTATAATCAAGGAGACTTAAGTTGTCACTGCATGAAACTAACCGATACATATATCAGTACATTATTTTTGATTTATCCGAAAATCATTGAATTGTGATGTCATATGTACCAATGAAATTTGTTTTTCTGCTTTACTTGTTGCTTTAATAGTTGAGGTAGTCAAATGGTAGTGTGAGTGATTGCTTTAAGAAAGACTCATCGACCCAGAGTATGTCGCTGAAATAGTTCTTTTTAGTGAAAAGGCTGACAAATTCAAAGTCTTCTGAACTCTGAGTAACAATAAATGATATATTTTCTATGGGATTCTTTTTCTCAGAATGGGAAGTTTTGCTTCCGGACCGGTCTGTGTCGGCACTTACTCTTACCATAGGAAGTGAGGCTGTCGAATGCGTTGATAACTTCACTAATCCTGGAGGTTTTTATCGACCGTAATGTGCCTGTAGTTGATGAAAATACGGCATATATATAAAGAGTTTGTTCGGTTTTTGTTAACCTACAGAAATTACAGTAGAGGTAGATTTATGTCTGCTTATCCAAGGGCGAGTATACTGAGCAAGATTCCAGTGTTTTGGTTTGTAACAACAAAACAACTGATAAAAGTAGAAGATATAGGTAGGTTACAATTGTTTTATTATACTCGTTTTGAAGCATTTCTTGTGTGTGCTTGGATTACGTGATGAGCAATACTGAAGTTATGCTCGGGGTTATAAGTAGAACTAGTTAGCCTTCATCGACATTGGCTGTGTGTTCATCTCCTTCATATAACTTTCCCTAACCTATTCCGACGCCAAATAATTGCTGGTGTAGAAGCAAGTTAAATCTGGAGGCTACGAAACTATTACGTGGCATCAGCCTGTGAATTAATTAGCCGTTAGTTTGAGCATTGTGGAGAGACAAATTTGTGTTTGGGGTTTAAGTGGTAACAGTAATCTCTGTCTGAAGATCCTAGGTAGTCACGTAAAGAATACTAAGAAATGATGAAGAGACTTGGTTGTGAATAAGAGGATCTTTAGTGGTTATAGGTTTGGGAATGGTTTTCACTTGCTGGATGTACTTTCTGTGGAAACTGAAAAATAAACTGAATTTGTAGTGGTTGTGCCTACGTGGTGTTGTGACCACGGACCCAAAGAACAACTGTATGAGGCCATTCAAACGGGATTTTTGTATCAGGTTATCGACTTGTTGGCCTTGTGTTCGATGAGGCTTGCTGCAGAAGTTGGAAATCTGTAGGGCAAGGTGAGTCTTGGAATCTTTAGGGCCAAGCTATTCTAACCCCTTCTTTTCTTTGTGAAAGGACAGCTTCGCTGCAGATTTTGGTTGTCTGAGAGAAACACCTTACCGCTGTCACGCTTCTATCCAGTTAACAGTACGACATTCCCTTCGAAATTTTAGGTAGCGTGGGTTAAAAACCGTCAGAGTGGTGCAGATGTGTTCATTCTTTGATTTCATTCGTTCATTTCGAACTATATTCTGTGTTCTGTTTGTCGCTATTATTCATACTATAATTATTTTAACTTGTTGACGTTCAATTTGTTAGCTACCTCTCTCTTTCTGGATATAAAGTGTGACAATTTAGGCTAATACATCTTTGTGCCATCCCATACGTTGTTTAGGATCAACTTCTTTTGTGTTATTTTCATTGATTATAACCTTTTCAAGCCAATAGCTTTGATAACTAAGTAATTTCCAATTGCTAACATCATTTTCATTTTCGTTGCTTTTGTTACGTGTTAGTGTTCACGCTATTGGTATGTTCGACATTTTCTAACCCTTCCCCAAAGGAGAAAGATAAGATAGTTGGGTGTGCTCAGAGGTTATATCAGAAATACTGTAATTGACATCACAACTGCTGGTATTTTTATCAGTTTTACGGTTTCTTCAAGCTTCATTACGATTTAAAATACTTTAATGTTAACAGCATCTGCTTTTATTTCTACCACTTGAACAGGCTCTTTTCTACATGCCTAGATTTTATAGAGTAAGCTTTCCAACTACCACTTCCAAGATGAGTCATCACGACAAACAAGTCTAATCACCAAGCCTACATCGTAGCTAGTAGTTGTTTGACCTGTTTGGGTTCAAATTTCATTCAGCTGTTTTCATTTCAACTTCAGTGTTACTCAACGATATTTATTTCTATCATACTATGAAATAGTGATATTTGTTAATAAGACGATCTTTATTAAGTATTTGTCTGTCAGTTGACTCATTTTCATAGTTTTCTAGGTCATATTTTTAAAACAGCAGTAGATATCTGAAGCCTTTTATTGACTTTGTCTTGGTTTTTTGTCTAACTTTACGATGTGTGGTAGTGAGACTAAAATATGATTGATCACTGAGCGTGGACCAAGTCACTTAGCCTACTGACCTAAATATGTGGTTTCCTTTCCTCTCATTGATTTATCCTCCGGACCCATTAAGTGTTACTGATTGTAACTGTGTTAAATAATCTATTATCTAATGTTAATCTGGTTCTCTATTCTTGGTTATGAATCCTTGATCTAATATAACGTGACTAGTCTTATTGTCGGATTAACGTATTATTGTAGTATGCCTGAGAGTGATAAAAATGTTTTAAACCATTCCTTATATCACTTGTATTTCTGTCCTAAGTTAGCATTTAGGTCGATGATAATACATTATTGTTATGTTCCTTATGAGCGTAAATGTCTTTAATTACTTTGGCTTTTGAGAAAACAGTAATGATTTGTATTTACTATAACAGTAAATAATAGTATTAATAAAACGATGTTTTTATTAATGTGTTATCTACTACACATAAACTCTTCTTCTATACTTTTTAACAACAGTTAAAGCTCGATTAGATGCTCGAAGTAGATTACAAATGAAGGTAAATATTTTATTTTAGTATAAATATTTCACACTGCCTTAACTCTATAGTTATTTTTTGTTTCTTGAATTTGCCTTTACTGCAGTTAGTTAAAGCCTATTTTTACTAGCGAAATTTGTATTTTGAATTCAGCAATATGTATTTTAGTAATCTGATAGTAAAATGTGGACAAAAAATAAAGAGTAAATATCAAAATACATTACAACAAAATAAATTTTTGTTTACTTTCTGACTTCTACAGCAATTCAAAGTAATCGTTGAAGTTCTTGTCTAACTGTAGTCCAAAATCTATCCGTTTTACAAGTGTTAAGTATCATTTGGCTTTAGTCTCATAATTTTCCATGGCTCCAAGTATCTTTTTATCTATACGAGAGCTGGAGTTGCTACTACATTAGATTAACATCTACATTGTTTTGGATTGACATAGTAGTATCGGTATTACTGGAAGTCTAATTGCTTTTGGGTTCTTACTTCCTAATGAGTAGTTTTTTTGTTACATTTGATGGGGTATATGTAATTCACACCTGAGTAGTAGCATTTCTTTTACCATTTATTCAACCTACTTCTGGATATTTTCGTTTATTACTGTCAACACGAGCTTTCATAGTAATTAGAGTTTTCGAAAACCTAAATACTTTTAAATATATTTTATAAATTAAGTTATTTTATTTACCGATGATGTTTTTACAGGTCTAGTTGGTTTAACAAACTGAAGTGAACGAAACCTTAAGTGGGGAAACCAGTTTATTGTTTAACGGAAAATCACTCAGTAGCTTAGCAAAATATGAAAATCATACATTAAATACATCGTTTGCACATCTCTCCGTTATCCCTTACATACTCCATTATTCCTTTAATTCTGTTGTTATTTGGATTGCTCTCAGATTTCCTTCCTGTTATCTTCATAACAATCTTTAGCTTCCAGATATTTCACTTCCGATTAGTGTCAAATACTACTTATATCTGTCAACGTAAGTAGCATACACTCAGTCAGCTAGTCTGAGTACTGAAAAGATTTAGGTGATGGAACTGATGATTGTTTATAGTGCCGATTCCCAATTCCTAACTAGATAGTTCTTAAGGGATAGGACTACTATCCAACTATTTATGTGACATATGCCTGGTTTTCAACCAGTTACAAACAATATCAAATCCACTCTGATCTTATTGCTTTACTATAGAGTATATGCCATTTGGATGAGTATATGTTGTATTTATTTCACATATCTTTTCATCATTTGTTGTAATATTTCTTCTACAAATAGTTCATTTGTTCACATTTTCAAAATATTTACCAGTATAGTATTCAAAGAATCGGACTATCAACTAGAGAAGGGGAATTCGTTGAAGCATTTTATGCTGATCGTCGAATCAAGTCAAGTTCAAAATCTATTTCACCTGAACAAGATGATTTGAATGGAGAGATTTTAGTAAGATAATTGATATCATTGGTTTAGTTCTATGAATTTTTAGTTAACGTTGGTTGTATTATTTTAGCATACTTTTAGCGTAAAATCCTTATATTCTGACCACATACTAATTTTTCTACGTTTCGATTATAGAATTTCAGTTTAACAACAGTAATTTGTGGAAATAAGAGTTACAAACGGTTCCTAAGTAAAGTAAACAGGTGTCGTATGTTCAAGAGAATTTCCTAATGATATGCGTCGTCTGTCCTATAAATATGCGACAAATCAGCATCAAATTTTCAATGAAATTTAGATATTTCTCTTATGAAATTCACGTAATGTTTAAGGGTGCCTATAAAATAAGCCACTGAAGAAAGCAAAATTTCTCAAGTTAATCGAACTTTTTAGCGACCGTTGTAATGATTGGATGTTCAGAATGACTATTAATCCCAAGTTCACTGTTCGAACTATTGATGACATTGTTAGCGGGACATAGACTGGATTGAAGCATGCTCAATGCACGATTGCTTTGGTGCACGCTGATTGGCTAATTCTTATCCAATCAGCACCAGTCGATAGTTGGAGAATACTCCAGAATCTTCTCACGTAAAAACACTATAAATATACTGACGTTTTTCCCTATTGTGCATCTTGCTTTCATTTAACCTTGTTATTTGAAATACAATCTCTTTCCTGTTCAACCGTGTTCTGATTTGGGGACTTGTTGAGTGAATCGGTGTCCGAGAATACTAAACAATAGGAATAGCTGGGTCACAGCCGTAAGAAAGAGATTATAACAGACCTGAATTTCGAAAAATTTTCTCTATACACAATTCTAGTAAACCATTTGTAACCGACAAATTTATTTGCAAAACTTGAGATAGAGAAGTAGCTGAAGAGCTTGACTTCTGAGGGTTTCCACGGACATTCCCAACAATTAAAATAAAGCACTGTAATATTGCCACAAATTTTTATTTTGAAGGTTGACCAAAATTATGTACTCTAATGTTCGTAAAGTTTTTGTGACCTTATTTTGTATATTTATTACACTGACTTATTTTATGCTGGATACGTACATTAACTTTTTCAATCTGCGATAATTGACTGTGACAATGATTATCAATGAGATGTATCGTGACACTAAACTGCGTGCTTATTTTCTATTCGTGATCCCTAAAAAGATATCAAATGAGTCCAGAGTAAGCGATCAACGGTTATCAGAAATGCCCATTCAGATTAGCAAACAATTCTAATCGTCAAGTTAGTTTGCTCAACAATCATTCACACTAGAAAGCTTAGTGAAGATTGTATAATAAATCCAGTTTTATTTTTGAAATCATGAACGGATCTAAGACGACCATCAACAATATGAAAGCATTGGATAACCGTTTCGTCCTGGTGTGAGACTCCTCATCAGTGTCCATCAGTAACGTCGCACGCGAGAATCGGACCCAGTATCTTCAGTCTTGCATCTAAACGCCTAAACTGTAGGCCGTTGAGTCAACATGTCTAATTTCAATCAACCAATAGTATCGCGCGGTCATCCTCCACTACCTTCTGTGGATAGCTAACTCACACCTAACACGATCTAGCTCCACTGATCATGGCCCCTCACTAGATTCCGGAAATTTCTTTTCGAAGCTGGTTGGGTGTGAGTTAACTACCAATGGAAGGTAATGGAAGATGGTTGCGCAATACTATTGGCTGATTAAAATTAGACATGCTGACTCAACGGCCTACAGGTTAGGCGTTTGGATGCAAGACTGAAGATACTGAGTCCAATTCTCGCGTGCGACGTTACTGATGGACACTGCTGAGGAGTCTCACACCAGGACGAAACGGTTGTCCAATACTTTCAGATTGTTGATGATCGTCTTAGATCCTTTCGTGATTTAAGTAAAATTAAAAAATCTCGACCACCCCGTGCTAACAGTTTTATATATTCGGATTTAAGCCATACAGTTTGTGTGAGTGCTAGGGATATTACTCGGCTGTAGGTAAAGAGGAGTTTGTGAACGATAACTGGTTGAAGAAAACTACTATAGTATTCAGTATATTTCACCACTGGTAATTTGATAATAAAATAGGAATGTTTTTGATTTATGGTTTCGAAACATTGTTTTCGGTTTGTTAAGTTATCTACATGTTTATTACGATCACCGGAATGCGAAAGTGATAGGTTATTTTTGTTTGAGAAATATTTTCCACGTATTTGAAGATCCTAACCTGTCATCTAATTGTACTTCGAATTTATTTATCTGTTTATTTGTTTGAACACAAACATTGGTACAAGAGGGCACCGAATGCATGTGCGCCACACAAAAACAATGAGGCCAGTAGCAGTTATCACTGATTTTTGTAAGGGCTGTGATACTGCCCGGGCGCCCAAACCGAGGCAGGTGGTTTTCTTCGGGAAGCACTTCTCGAGCATTTGACCTACAGGTCTAATCCACAAGTTAGTGGAGCAACGTCAGGAGATGAAGTCCCATGATAGACAGTGACCAACAGTATGTTCATACACCATTTGTTCCCTCAGGATCCTGGAGCCCATATACACATTAGTTTGTAATCAGGGTTTCTCAGTTCGTCTAGATGGATCCTCCGTGTCCACCAATCGGTTCCAAGAGTCGGACATTCGCCTTTCGTGTTGTCACTTTCGTAAAGAACACCCGCACATCGTGAAGGCAGTGAGTGGGACTTCGGTGGCAGTGGCTGTATACATGTGTCCATGTGGGAGCATTTCGAGAGGGAAAGCTGACTCCCTATCCTCGTCCATACCAATGCATTTGGAGGGGGGGAAATTGTGGTTAAAAAGATTTAAATATTTAGCTTCTCACGAACTCTTTTCACCTTTTCATATTATGTACGAATTTTGGTACCGTGGTTTCGGTCCACTTTGTCAAGCTTATGGCTAGATAATTTAATGTTATGTAACTGAAGCATGATATCATTGAAATAGTTTTCCCTGGTTATGCTAGTGAACAGAATTAGAATTCCTAGGTGCTTTGGATTATACTTCAGATCATTTATGTTTCTTGCCATGATTTTACGTGTGATTTCGAATTAATCTACTGATTAGTAAGGTTATTGATGGTGTTTTCGAATATATTCTGATATAAGGTTGCTTTGGTGGAACATAATAAGCTCCTCAAACCTACTATTTCGATCGATCGACTTTAATCTGGAGTTTTACTTTCTGTAGGTACTCTGTTGTGAAGGTAATGGTGGATATCCTGAGATTGGAACTCCCTGGGTTCCACTTGAACGAGGTTATTCAGTTTTAGGATGGAATCATCCTGGTTTCGGAGAAAGCACGGTAATACATTTGTTTTGATGTTCATTTGTTTATTTTCTAAATTTTGGCATGAATCACATGATCATAATGTATATCTAATTGGCTGAAATACCATGATCACTATTTGCGTATCCCCGATTCAAAGACAAATTGAGGTAAAAGACTGTACAGTTTACAAACTTGGTCATTTTATTCACTTCTGACTTACGTCTGTTTTCTTTCAATATTCTGTTACAGTTAACTGGCTAAATAAAGTGCCATCTCCCTCGTTAATTGAAAATAATTTGATCGTACATTTGTAATATTTTTCATCATTCTAACTTGATATCTCACTGACTGGTTGTGTAGATCGGTCAATTTACAATTGTTTTTTTCCATGAGCAAACATGAGTCGGAGAATCACTGAAATCGGGGAATAGTGGATGTTACGTTTAATACTCCAGTTTGTGTAGAACGTGTGCCCAATCAACAGTTTTGAGTACTCTAGGCTCTAGTCACCGTAGTTACTAGACGTTTATGGTTTGATTGACTAATTCACCACTCTTATATAGGACTCGAAGGCCATTCACTTGCCAAATTTGAGGCATTATTAAAGTCTTTGGTAATTAACATTGTATTACTCATGTTTTTCATCCATGTTGGTCATGTTATACTACTTCAACAAGAATAACTAAACCCACGTAAGCCGTACACTCCGAGGTTCTTAAACGTCCTAGCCTCTTTGGTGTTGTGATTGAAGTTAGTAAAATTGTGCTTCATATAATTTATAGTAAAATTTAATCATGCACTATACTTTGATGTACTATTATCATGTATTGAGTAGGGATACTATTTTGGTTTTTAGATAGAATCAATTAGAGTGGCTTGTCACCTGACGTGTTAAAATTCTAATACTTAAGTAGTTGGTTCTTCCTTTCATTGCATTCTTGATAATTATTTCTAAGTTAGAAATACCTCAATATAATATTCCCCTCTATGTCTGATAACTTTTGTTTTGTATTTTCGCTTATTTTATTTTCACCAATCTTTTAAAGGGTTTACCATTCCCGGAAAAGGAACAGAATGCTGTTGAAGCATGCTTTTTATTTGCTGTACATCGATTACATTTTCAACCTAGTCAAATATTCGTACTTGGTTGGTCGATTGGTGGTTATACAGCATCTTGGATAGCAATGAACTATCCTGATATAGCTGGTTTGGTAAGTTAGTTACATGGTGCCTATATATTGTTTCTTCTATGGCACATGACATTATATGACTTTTTTATCAGTCATAAATTGGTAATTCTACTCCAATTTATTTAAACTCTAACTTTTGATTATCACTCATGAAGTAGTTACAAGTTGTTCGAGGGATTGTTTTTTGTAATTCTCTAAATTACCAGTGATTGTCCACTTTGCATCTCTTAAGAATAAATTTACCTTATATTGTAGTATATTTGGATATGTACCTACAGACATATGTATATGTGTATTTTTTTTAGTGACTTGAAAACTGGTTTGTAACAGGATATATGTATAACTGTTAATGACAGTTTGTTTGATGATACTAATTTATGAATCTTCGTATCCCTCATGACGGGTTGTACGTCGGACTTCACATGCAGTTATATTTTTTGGGAGCAAATGATCTGTTTAGCACATATTCAACTGGTTATACGTTAGAGATTCTCTTTTAGTTTTTAGAAAACTAACTATTATAATTGAGGACATTTCTCAAAATTCTGATACAAAAATGATTTACGAGGGAATTTGGAAATCCATTTATTTTGTCTATTCAGATTGTGCATTAAGCAGATCCTTTCAGGTATAAACGTAATGAGCACCAGCATTCAAACCTATTTAAAACTGTTTCCGTATGTCGTAAGTAAAATAAAATTCATTCCTTCGTCACTGATGTACGACATATTCACTGTTCTTATGTCTTACATGAAGAATAATCACTCAAACAAAATGGGATGGAGTTGGGTTCGAACTTGCTGCATAGTTTTTGAAAGTCGACAAGTTTAACCTTTAAATCACTATTCTGCATAATGGTGATTTTAATAATGGTTTTCTGTAATGATGAAGTTAGTGTCTATCTAAATCTAAAAATCAAGTCGAAAAAGTTGTTTGCTTTTTTCCAATTATTTTAAAAATTAGGTTTTGGACGCTACTTTCGATAATATAGATGAACTGTCAAGACGGGTCGCACCATCTATATTTGGTAAGTCGTTCGCTTATTTGATGTCAACATTGGATGAAAATAAATGTTACTAATTATTATTACTTATGAGTAGTTTGCAATTTATCTGTGTATATTCGTCGTCAATACATACTGGATTATGTATTTCACGATGAAGATAATCTTTAGTCTTGAATTAGTAAGTTTAGCTCAGAAGGGCGATGTTTGTGATCCAGCAAAGCAAGTAATTGAATGAGCCTAAGTTTGATTTTATAATGGTTCATTGCTTCGTACTGTTAATACGTTTTCAGTAAACAAGATAACTATGGAACTTGATCCCAATGACAGCGAAATAGTGAGTGAAATTTTCAAATGATTGTCAGTTGAATTTCAAATACATCCATCTTGACTAGGTTGCTCTACAATTAAGAAGACAAAAGAGCGAGTTTTATTGTCATTCCGAACGATAATAATACGGTGAAAAAAGCCTGGGTACCTATTAATTTTTTCCACGTGTCAGTGATGCTCAACCACTTGGTATTGGAGTTTCAGACCATCAAATCCAACTGTACGCACACTTTAAGGACTCAGAATGGTAATTTAAGAAACTTCTTTAAGCCGATTCAGGTCGAGTTCTTGGAAAATAGTGGATTTCCTATCGCTTTATCTTTGGAATTTAATGGTTCCTAGATTTTCATGGGTTCAGGTGTTGAGGTTTCAATGAGCGTTTTCTACTATCAGTTTGTCTTTATAGTCAGGAGAGTTTCCTCTGTGGCTTCGGTACTCAGTAGGTTGTTGTGTATTTTTTTCTTCTTTAAAGTATTGGGAAGGGCGTTCAAAGGTAATTCACTTTGGAGCTTATCTTCAGCTGTTTGTCGAATGCGCAGTGGTATGGGGTTGTCATTTCAAAGTATACTCGTGGTGATGATGCATTTTTTGGTTCAATCATTTGTTGAATGGCCTGAGTGTTTTTCGCACTTCCTCGCTGTCATCAAATTTCTTTTTTTTCAGACCCGGTTTTGGAATCTGTCGTTAAAATGTATCTGGATTTAAACAATTTATCCCATGTGATTAAGTAAGTTTTTATTTGTTTTGTGGTACATCTACCAACCGAATGTTTTCTGTGCTCAACGCTAAGCACACATTTCATAGAAGTTATCTCATGTGCTATTGAGTCCCCTTGACTGAAGTAGGCTTAAAGCTATGTTTTGTTAAAAATCTATGATTGAAAATCAAGTACTTTAACCACCAAACCATCGTTCTTATTTCATAATTCTTTTATTTTGTCTCCACTCTTTTTTTGAGACTGGTTCGTGGTGGAATAAAAAAGCCATTTATTGAGCCTACTTCTGTGCACAAGCTTATTTAGGATATCACAAACATGATTGCTGAATAATAGGTTTGTGTTTAGTAACCTGTTTGCTAATGGTTTTTTTCCAGTCTGATATTAAAAACACGAAGTTCCACGAAAGGATCGCTTTTCAACGAATATATTATCAAGTTGTACAATGGTATATATTAGTTCTGTGAGGACATATGAACAAGGAATAAACATGATGCAATAGAAAGATTGTAAAATCAGATTACGCAATATGAATAATAACAATAAAAGATTGTATGTGTGCAAATAGAAAGCCTTGTAAAGTTAATAATTTAGCAACAGGTTACAATGTGAATGAAGTAAGATGATTATAATGTTTTTGTAATAATAATTACAACAATTACGAATAATATCATCAGGGTATGAAACATAATTAAAGGGGGAAGGGGATGTTTGCAAATACGGAATGAAATAGTAATAATAATAGTTCAAGGACCGAAGCTGCTACCTTGACGCGGTGGTCGGGCTTGCCTATCGTGATGACCCAGCCGAGCTATATTGGCTGGAACATATGTTCCTGTAGGTTCTACCATGCCAGGCAGGTCGATTGGTGAACGGTAAGTCTAAAAGCAGCAACTCAAGGTCTGAAGGAGAAGTCGTACTGCTGATTGTAGAGAAGTGTGACAGCAGTAAGGTGTTTCCCTCAGACAACCAGCATCTACAGCGTTGCTGCCTTCTGACAAGGAGGGGTGGGGCTAGAAAAGGTCGACCCTAAAAATGTCACATCTCACCTTACCTCACGGATTTCCGTTTCCGGCGGTAATGCCCTTTGGAGAACGGAGCTGACACATTAAAAACCTTCCACAAAAAGGCCGTGCGCGACCGGCCTCAAGCAGTTGTCCCTTGGGCTCTGCGGTCACGCTCCCAGGTCGTCAAGACCAACACTAATCCAATTTCATTTTCAGGTTCCTCAAGAAATACCCTTCCACAGTGTTGGCAGCCGGGAAGTGACATCAGCCCTCATACCCGTAACAGCACACGGGGTGTGGCCCCCTAAGAAAACCACCTGCTTCGGTCTGGGCACCCGGGCAGTATCACAGCCCTCACACATATCGAATGAGATTTGTGTGGCGCATATGTATTTGGTGCCTCTTTGTACCATTATCTATGTGTTGAAATAAATAAATAAATAAACACGAAACCAAGTTGGTCACATTCAAATCCTTTTATTTATTTTATTATTTATTTTAACACATAAATATTGGTACAAGAGAGCGCCAATATATATGCGCCACACATACAGCCTCTGCCAGGGAAGTCCTACTCATTGCCTTCTCGCGGCGGGGGTGTTGTTTACGAAAATGAGAGGACGAAAAGCGAACGTCCGGCGCTTTAACCGGATCACAAACCAATGGTGCACATGGGCTCCAGTATCCTGCGGGAACAAATGGCGTATGAACCAATCGTTGGTCACCGGCTACCATGGGATTGCATCTCCTTACGATGCTCCACTGCCTTGTGGGTTAGACCATTTGGTCAAAGGCTCGGGGTGTGGCCCCCTAAGACAACCACCTGCTTCGGTTTGGGCACCCGGGCAGTATCACAGCCCACACACAAACGATTCAAATCCTTCCTACACCTCCTAATACATATCTTATCTCCATAACTAACTCTCCTCACGTCTCTTTATCACATCGCACCGCTAGGGCAAACGATTCGAGCACGTGGAACGCTAAGTATATATAAGAGTATATTTCAGGAACAACTAGGAAAACAGTTAGGCAGCCATGTATGTGATGCCCACCCCGAGGCAGCATGAAATGATATCCGAAAAGCTGTGGAAATAGCAGTGATATTTGCTAGTAAGGTAAACCAGAAGGTTAGGGAGAAACACTGGAGCTCAACAGCATCTACCGCACTGATAGATGCTCGGAAACTCATTCCACCTGGCTTTGAGCATAATGAAAACCGGAATTAAGAACCCGACCGTTAGCGAAACAATCTCAGATTAAGATGGACATATTATACATTCTCAATCCAGGAGATTGGATCGATGGGCAGAACACTTTGTGGATCAGTTCAACTGGCGTTCAACCACACTTCGGTTTCCCACGATCTCCAGTCAACCTGAATGGCAAGTTAATGTAGGTCCTCCGTCTCTTTACGAAGTTGAAAAAGCCATAGGAAATCTGAAACGAGGGAGAGCAGCAGGCCCTGACAGGTTTTCTCCTGAGATTTTAAGGATGGCGGTCCAGTATTAACAGAAAGATTGGCTGAGGTCTCAGTTAAAATTCGGGAACTGGACGTAATCCCATCTGACTGGTCTCAACCACTGATTGTGCCAGTCTATAAGAAAGGACAAAAGTCCTGTTGTGACAATCACAGAGGAATCAGTTTGACTAATATAGTGTCTAAAATATTAGCCTCAATAATACTTCGACGCCTAATCAAAGCTCGTGAAGAGCAGATTAGAGAAAACCAGGCCGGTTTTCGACCTGGACGTGGTTGTATAGATCAGATATTCACACTACGTCAGGTTCTAGAACACAGTCACACATTCAGACGCCCCACAATGATAGTATTTCTCGACCTTAAGGCGACATTCGACTCTGTTGGTCGTGAGGTTCTATGGCAGTGTTTGCCAATGAAAGGAGTACCAAAGAAGTACATTAACCTTATTTAGGCTCTCTACTCGAACACAACTGGTAGAGTGAGAGCTTATGGCGAACTGTTATCAGAATTGATTACATCAAGTGGTGTTCGTCAGGGCTGTCCACTCTCTCCATTCTTTTTTAACTTTGTCGTTGACGTCCTTCTGACCACTCTAAGCAACAATGCAAGCATGTTCGGGATGCGATTCTCTCCCTTGAAATGCAAAATGTTGCTTCAGGATTGGGTTACATCGACACCAGAAATAGTGATAGGGAGTGAAGTAGTTGAGTGTGTCGACCGTTTCACTTATCTTGAAAGTCTCATCAGCCCTCGTGGTCTGGTGTGTGACGAAATCTCAGCACGGATACAGAAGGCTCGACTAGATTTTGCCAACTTGCGTCATTTATGGCGTAGGCGAGATATCCGTCTATCAACCAAAGGACGGGTTTACTGCGCAGCAGTTCGTCCCGTCCTACTTTATGGCAGTGAAACATGGCCGGTAAGAGTAGAGGATATTCGTAGGTTACTAGTATTTGATCATAGGTGTCTTCGAAATATTGTTCGTATATCCTGCGACCATCGAGTAAGTAACACAGTTGTTAGGAAACGGGTACTAGGTAAGGATGGCAAACCAATTGACGAAGTAATGAAACTTCATCAGTTGAGATTGCTGGGACACGTGTTACGTATGTCCAACCACCGACTGCACCGACGAGCGATATTTTGTGGTGTAGGAGTAGGTTGGAAGAAAGCTAGGGGAGGCCAGACCAAAACATGGCACAAGTCCATGAAGTCACTGACAAGTGGACTGAGCCATGTTCGTAGGTGTAGACTCTATGGTTGGGGACCGCGAGATGATAGCAACCGATGGTTAGAGACCCTGAATGACATGGCTCAAAATCGTTTGCAATGGCGCAGGCGCATCCACTCTTTGTGTTCTCCCAAATTCTAATCTTCTGAATTTTTCATGTCCCTTTTTTCCTCTTTCCAATTTTATTTCACTGAATTATACTTTTTAAATAACATCTCCAAACCCTAATCTCCCCGATCACTGTTTACACTCTTGCTACCTCTACCACTACGGGATTTGGATCGAAAACTGCATCTCTGTGTTTAGGTGGTGTGGCAACTCGAACTGATGTACGTACGTACGAAGTTCTACGTTGTTACTGACTGACTGACTTGTACGCACAGTTCTGGCTTTAACTCATGAATGGCAAGAGTTGCTATTGTTTTAAGGAGTTGGATACGAAATCTAGATAGATTCGGACGAATTACATAAACAACCTTAAAATCAACCTGTGGATCAATAGAGTGATTAGAGTCAATTATATGTTCAAAGATGGAAATTCTAATTGCGTTTGTCTCATCTTTGTAGAACCAAACTGGGACATATTCTCGTATCCAAGTTGAAAGCAAGCGTTGGCTACGGTTTATGTACCTTACTCCACAAGAGCGGGTGAACTGGTAGATGCACATAGAGGGGACCAGACGAGGAAGCTTATCCTTTAGGGATACGTAAAATAGGTTCTTACTAGTGAACGCTACAGTTTTGTTTCATAGGACGTCCTTTTTACTGCTTACGTTAACCGATTTTTAATTACATCCGAAGTTTGATCCCCTTTAAATTCACCCACCCTCAATCTTAGCAGACTGTTTTATGTCAACGTTGGAAAACAACCAACTTAGTTCGATCATCAATCGATTTAATATATACGCAAGATACATAGACGACAGGTTAGAATATCTGATTGTATTCAATACGGACGTTGGTGAATCTTACAGTACATGTTTTTTCATTTTATTAACTAACCGGGGATGTTGAAATATAGTTTTCTCTTACTTGTTGATCCCCTTCCTTGACTTTTTATATTGGTTTAGGATAATAATGGAGTGACAGGGACCCATATTTACTGAAAGCAAACTATTTAATCGGTACTGAGTAATGTTTGGGTTTCAATGTTTCCGATAATTTGAAAGTCCCAGATAAAATAAAGCCTAATAGCTACAGAAATTGAGTGAATTCGCTCGTAACTTATACTAGTACCAAATTGTTTACTTTCACAACTGTTGTTTAGTTCGTTCTCTCCACTGTTTTAGTGTTTGATGGTTGCAACGTAATATCACAAAAACATTTCCGGTTGTTTATTTTACATAGCGATAAGTGCTACCTTAGTAAGCGAAATGTCCGTCTGCCAGTCAAATGGCCTGTATAGTGCTCATCAATCCGTCCTGTATTAGTTTACGTATGTAAAACATAGTTTTTGAGAGCACATGACGTGGGTTGGTTACAGGTTTTTGATCATAAGCGTCTTCGAAGCGTTACTCGATTTTTGTAGAATGACCGAGTGAGCAATGTTGAGGTTAGGCATAATGTGGATTACTTAGCACTGGTGGCGTATCGGTTGATGAGTTTGCGAAAACTGATAATTTAAATGCCTCGAGGTATGTTGCTAGCAAATTGAACTTTTCTGGAACCTGGTTTCCAAGCGGGAAGCACAAGTTTAATTTATGATCCAACAGATCCCATTAAACAAGATAATTGGTAAGAAATATTATCTGGAAGCCATAATAACATGTTGAAGATGATGGAGATACTACATATATTTTGAAGACGAATTTATAATATTTGTGGAGAATCACTACTTTTTTATGATTATCCAAATCTCTGATGATGATTTTATATTCATTCTATCTTGTATGTTAAATCAAGTTACGATGGTCCAGTGCTTATTATTCGCCGCAGTGATGATGAAGTTATCACCACTGGGTAAGTGACATTGATTTTGATTATTATTATAAATTTGTGGTTTCCAGTGAATGAAAAGCAAAATAAATTTGTTTTACTGATGTTTCGCTATTTAATATTAATAGTTTCAAATAGTTAAGACCATGAGTCAATTGAAGCTAGCTTCAATATAAGATCTTATTCTTTACTCCCCCTTCCGTCATCAGTTATGTTTCTACTATTTTGACCATTTTTATAGTACAAATCAATTTCATCTAAAATTCTTTATTTGTATCCTTGAGCTCATCATATACCATGTTTCCTGCCAAATATTAATTGAATAATGGAATAAAGAAATCTCATCAGTTTAGCATATTCAATACCTAGAACTGTCACCTCGAAATTGTAGTATATGACATGTTTACCGAAGTGTTTCTGGTTTTTATCTACCAGTGAGTGTTAGTGTAACAGATCGATGTCTGGTTTGATTAAACAAATTTCAAATAGATTAATTGATTCTTTAGAAATTTGAAATTCTCATCCTACCATTATTGTTCAGTGGACATACTTAACAAACTTTTAGTTGGTGTTGAGTTAAGCAGCTTAATCATAAAGATGTAATTGTCTTTCTACACAACATCAGCGTTGATCTCAAGAAGATGTATATGATTGATGATTTCTTCACAGTCTGGTCGTCTGGGTAAGAGAATGTAGCACCTCCAGAATCCTCTTCCTGGACTTTTAATATGTTTGCAACCATTCTTTCTTCCGATTACACGAGTTAATTGTATTTGTAAGGGTTCAAGTTTTCCTGTTGAATGATATCTAATTTTATTGTACAATTAAATTATTGTCAATCGATTCAGTAGTTATTAATAACTTCTAGTACGTATTTGTTTGTCTGTGTGAGTATAAATATTCACAGATTTAAATCATGAGTCAGTTAAAGCTAGACCACCATTGAAAACCTGGAAGCACTGGACGGCCGTTTCGTCCTAGTATGGGACTCCTCAGCAGTGTGCATCCACGATCCCGCACCACGCGGTGCTCGAAACGGCCGTCCAGTGCTTCCAGGTTTTAAATGGTGGTCTAGCTTCAACTGACTCATGATTTAAATCCGTGAAAATTTCTAAAATCTCCACAAACCCCTTCTGAGTATAAATATATCGTAAATAAGCAAAATAAATTTGGTATCATCAATACAAATGTTGAAATAAATATCTGGTAGAATAAAAAAGGAAGTACACTATTTTTAACTATTGAAGCACACTAACTGCCATGATACTTATAGACTAGTTTGAATCCTATATATAGTAAATATTTTAGGAAGTGTTTTAACTGACAATTTCTCAGTGTCTCTACATGTTTTGTTCTCTCGTTATAACAGGGACGATCATTCACGTGCAACTAACAGAGGCAATCACTTACTGATTGGTTTATTAAAGCATCGGTATGTTAAAAAAAATAGTATATAATTTTTGTAGTATTCAATAAAAATACGATTTTTAGTTCGATTGAATGCGTACATGATCAATGGCTTCCAAATAACTTTTCTTGACATAAAAAAATGACGAAGTCATTTCTGATCAAATTTTAATTGATCGTCATAGTGAGACCAAATAGTAGTTTACAGTAAGTTTTGTTTATCAGCTGTTATTCCAGCTCTGTATGTTTCATTATCTGACTAAACATTCCTACTGTCCATAAACTTAAATAGAAACATGAAAAATAAGAAAAGGTGTGTATTTCTCCTGCTGGTTAGGAATTATTGTCGCTAAATATTTTCATCGTTACTGATTGAATTACGAAAAAGTAACAAATTTTTGTGATTCAGTATATTTCGCATTTAATAATTACTTCGAATCGAAAGCAATATTTCTTTGTTATTGAATTTACACCATGTATTTTAAATTTTACTTAATAATCGTAGAAGATAATATCTATGTTATTTGTGAAATCAGTAAGTGATATCAATTTATCGGAAAGATAAGTAGATGGGTATGATTATGTAAAGTAACTTAATGGCTGAACTATCCACATTGAATCTTTCAAGTAACGACACTGAAAATAATGACGATTTTATAAATTATATCATAATCACAGTCATTTGCGTAGTATTACTTAGACATTTACAGACCCTTACAATAAAATAGTAATTCAGTTATTGTGAACTATCAAGCAGAAGAGTTCTGCTTTATATCGTTTTAACTTATTCTGCCTCGTCCAGTTTTTCAACCTTTCTCGAGAATCAAGTTTTTGCATTCGCTCTCAGATGGAGATCGAATTATTTGAATGTTTAATTTAAGAACCTGCCAAAAAAGCACTTTTCAGATGGACCCAGAAAGTGCGGTGTGAATCTCTTGGTATTTAGTCGATTAGACTCTTGTTGTTAGATTTTTGATTTGATATTCCATGTTATGACTTTATGTCCGACTTTTTATCACGTGATTTATCCACCAATCAAAATGCGACTTATACAAATCTTCGCACTATGCCAAACCAATGACGTTCGACCGGTATATGAGCAGCCTGGTGTCATTATTGGTCCTGTGTCCTCCTAGCCTGTCCGCTTGAGTCCAGAACACAATACCAGCTTCTGTAATATAAATCATTTATTTCAAACATACTCGGTTTATACATCAACCAGACAGACCACAACGTACCATAAAATAGAAAATAACATTTGTACACAATAAAGCCAAATAGTGGCTGTGAATGTGGGAGATAGGAAGTAATGACAGGCCATAACTCAAGAATGATAAATGCCCTGGTACGGCCGAGAGTGGGGGCAGTCCGTCCTCCCTCTCGAAATACTCTCACATGGCCTCGCGTATATAGCCTCTGCCAAGGAAGTCCTACTCACTGCCTTTTCGTGGCGGGGGTGTTGTTTACAAAAATGAGAGGACGAAAAGCGAATGTCCGGCGCTTTAACTGGATTCCAAACCAATGGTGCACATGGGCTTCAATATCCTGAAGGAACAAATGGCGTGTGAACCAATTGTTGGTCACCGGCTTCCATGGGACTGCATCTCTTTACGATGTTCCACTGCCTTGTGGATTAGACCTTCAGGTCGAAGGCTTGAGGAGTGGCCCCCTAAGAAAACCACCTGCTTCGGTTTGGGCACTCGGGCAGTATCACAGCCCTCACACATATCGAATGAGATTTGTGTGGCGTATATGTATTTGGTGCCTCCTTGTACCAATATCTATGTGTTAAAATAAAAAAAATAGTAATAGTCTATGGGTCAAATTAAAGCTTATAATAATAAGAATGTAAATATACATAATCTAATTATTGAATAATTATACAATAAGGACATTTATGGAATATCAGTCCATTAATAGTCCTCGGAAGTTACCCATAATTTAATCTTCACTGGGATATAACATTCCACACATTAATTTAGGCTGAATATACTTAGAATGTTAGTTTGGAATTTTTGTAATCAGTTGTCTGGTCTGAAACCTGTTTAGATAGTCAAAGAAGCTTGGTTCAACGACAGTCTTACGCACCCAGTAAACCAATATCCTAAGATATCAGCAGACTACATATATTCATTATAAAAAACACACACAAAAGTTATGAGTTGATGAGAAACGATAGAGTAGTCCCATTAAGACTTGTTAAATGTCCCATAGTAGTTTTCTTAAATAAACAGTAATACCTCTCAAAAATTTGGTAGTTATTATATAATAATGATTACTTCACTACAGACAAACAGAACAAACATATAGTATTGTGCTAAGAAAAAGACTAATCAGCATCTGAACTGGTTAATGAAAGAGAAATCATATATGAGAACAGCGCATTTAAATAAATATAAACATTATTCTTATTAAGGAAACTGATACTAACCTAGCTGTTGAGAGCTTGAATTTTCATCGTGCAACTAGATAAGGAATTGTAGTTGGAAAGGGAATGCTCAGCGTGATAAGATTTTAAAATCGAAATGAACTGTAATCAGGAGAATCATAGAAACAAAAACAAATCAGTTGCAGGTAAAAGGTCAATAGTGAATATAGAACTAAATTCCTTTGCATAAAGTAAGCGTCGAACGACCTATATACGTCACTCTACTTGAAAAGGTAAATTGTTAAATGTTCATGGAATTGGTCAAATAAGAGTTTATCCTTTAAATTGTTGCTGAATATTGGCCCGCTTGATGACAATAATGGCAAGGTTAAGCGAAGAACGTTCTATTTAGAGAGTCGGAAATTCTCCTTTTAATGATGCTTGCTGTTAAATTACCTTTAAAATCAACGTTCATATAAAAAATTTTCCTTGATATAGAGACTATTTGTACTTAAGGAGGTTTGAGTTTTATTTTCTTACCAATAAATACCGATGGATACCTGTTTTTGATAAGTATCTTCAGGAGGTTCATTTCGTTCTCTGTAAGATTGGAACAAATTCTTAGTATTTGTATATGGAGCGGTATAATTAAATTATACTTTCAACTAATGAGGACTCAGCTTTTATGTGGGGCTTTTTTTCCCGAATATCCTGCTAGAAGAGGCCATTGATACTAAATACGGTCATGGTGAGGGTGTTGATTTTCCGATAAGAAACTAAAAGTATTACTGCTGTTGTGCATGAAGATATGGGTATTTTCAACTATCATAGACAAACAGATGGTTCATGTATTTTTTAGGCTGGATTAATTTTATGCAAGTATATATATATATATATATATATATATATATATATATATATATATATATATATATATATATATAGAGAGAGAGAGAGAGAGAGAGAATTACTTGACCAAATGAATCTTTTCTTTTCGTTGTTATTTTCATGGTGCTTTTTGAAAAATAACAGTGGAAAGAGACTTATAAATTATGTCCCGACTGTAGCTACTACCTTGACGCGGTGGTCGGGCTTGCCTATCGTGATGACCCAACCGAGCTATATTGGCTGGAACATATGTTCCTGTAGGTTCTACCATGCCAGGCAGGTCGATTGGTGAACGGTAAGTCTAAAAGCAGCAACTCAAGGTCTGAAGGAGAAGTCGTACTGCTGATTGTAGAGAAGTGTGACAGCAGTAAGGCGTTTCCCTCAGACAACCAGCATCTACAGCGTTGCTGCCTTCTGACAAGGAGGGGTGGGGCTAGAAAAGGTCGACCCTAAAAATGTCACATCTCCAAACCCTAATCTTCCCGATTACTGCTTATACTCTTGCAACCTCTTCCACTACGGGATTTGAATCGACCACTGCATCTCTGTGCTAATGTGGTATGGCAACTCGAACTGATGTACGTACGCACTAAGTTCTACGTTGTTACTGACTGACTGATTCCTGGTCTCCTGAAACCACGCTCTAAACTACACGTAGGAGCTTTTAACATCCGATTACTGCCAAATAGGACAGCAGGCTTCCTTAGCTAGGAATTTAGACTCTCGCTCCATCGATGTGTGCTGCGTCTCCGAAACGCGCATACAAGATCCGAGTAGCGTCATTCATCTGACCTCACCATGCCAAAATAAAGAACCGACTCGATTTACGCTTCGTGTAACTGGAAGCCCTGATTCTGCTTCCCGTGGCCTCGCCGGCGTAGGTATAGCATTGAGTCCTAGAGCAGAACTAGCTCTCTTAGAGTGGATTCCAGTAGACAGCCGTTTGTGCGCTGTTAGACTGAACGGAACAGTAAGAATCCGGAAAGATAGGGACACCCGTCGTTGCTTCCTCGTCGTCTCTGCCTATTCTCCCACTGACTGCAGCTCAGATGATGTAAAAGATGAGTTTTACAGAAAGCTTTCCGACCTTCTCCGAAAAGCTAGGCGCTCTGATGTAGTAATAGTGGCCGGTGACTTTAATGCTCAAGTAGGTAAACTAAGCGATAGGGAAAGACACCTGGGTGGATCTTATAGTGTTGTGGCTCAAAGAACAGATAATGGCGACCGTCTGTTGTAGCTATGCTCAGATAATCGCCTGTTCCTTGCAAATGCTAACTTTAGGCATAAGGAAAAACATCTTTTAGCATGGCGACCCCCTAATTCGTCCCAACGTTAGACCCAAATAGATCACATTGCTATCAGCCACCGATGGAGGGGCTCGATAGAAGACTGTCGCTCATTCTGGAGCACATGTTTAAATTCAGATCATGCTCTAGTGCGAGCACGTATTTGCTTGCGTCTTACTGGACGTAGGAAAGACGCTGCAAGGAAACCTCTTAGGGGCCTATTTAATGATAGTCAAGCTAAGAGTATATTTCAGGAACAACTAGGAAAACAGTTAGGCAGCCATGTATGTGATGCCCACCCCGAGGCAGCATGAAATGATATCCGAAAAGCTGTGGAAATAGCAGTGATATTTGCTAGTAAGGTAAACCAGAAGGTTAGGGAGAAACACTGGAGCTCAGCAGCATCTACCGCACTGATAGATGCTCGAAAACTCATTCCACCTGGCTTTGAACATATTGAAGAGCAGAGTCAGTTTAAGCGCAAGCTGACAAGAAGCCTACGCGATGATCGTGAACAGTGGTGGGTAGCGAAAGCAAGAGAGATGGAAAAGGCAGCGGCAATAGGTAATAGCAGACAATTGTTCAGACTCGTTAAGGAAACCGGAATTAGGAACCCGACCGTTAGCGAAACAATCTCGATGGGCAGAACACTTTGTGGATCAGTTCAACTGGCCTTCAGCCACACTTCGGTTTCCCACGATCTCCAGTCAACCTGAATGGCAAGTTAATGTAGGTCCTCCGTCTCTTTACGAAGTTGAAAAAGCCATAGGAAATCTGAAACGAGGGAGAGCAGCAGGCCCTGACAGGTTTTCTCCTGAGATTTTAAGGATGGCGGTCCAGTATTAACAGAAAGATTGGCTGAGGTCTCAGTTAAAATTCGGGAACTGGACGTAATCCCATCTGACTGGTCTCAACCACTGATTGTGCCAGTCTATAAGAAAGGACAAAAGTCCTGTTGTGACAATCACAGAGGAATCAGTTTGACTAATATAGTGTCTAAAATATTAGCCTCAATAATACTTCGACGCCTAATCAAAGCTCGTGAAGAGCAGATTAGAGAAAACCAGGCCTGTTTTCGACCTGGACGTGGTTGTATAGATCAGATATTCACACTACGTCAGGTTCTAGAACACAGTCACACATTCAGACGCCCCACAATGATAGTATTTCTCGACCTTAAGGCGACATTCGACTCTGTTGGTCGTGAGGTTCTATGGCAGTGTTTGTCACTGAAAGGAGTACCAAAGAAGTACATTAACCTTATTTAGGCTCTCTACTCGAACACAACTGGTAGAGTGAGAGCTTATGGCGAACTGTTATCAGAATTGATTACATCAAGTGGTGTTCGTCAGGGCTGTCCACTCTCTCCATTCTTTTTTAACTTTGTCGTTGACGTGCTTTTGGAGATAACACTTTCCTCATCTAAATTTCCAGGGGTTGAACTTCTACCAGGAGATTCACTTTTTGACCTAGAATATGCTGATGACACAGTTCTATTTGGTGAAGACGCTGACAAAATGCAGAATTTTCTGACCACTATAAGCAACAATGCAAGCATGTTCGGGATGCGACTCTTCCCCTCGAAATGCAAATCGAATAATGAAGTGATGAAACTTCATCAGTTGAGATGGCTGGGGCACGTGTTACGTATGTCCAACCACCGATTGCACCGACGAGCGATATTTTGTGGTGTAGGAGTAGGTTGGAAGAAAGCTAGGGGAGGCCAGACCAAAACATGGCACAAGTCCATGAAGTCACTGACAAGTGGACTGAGCCATGTTCGTAGGTGTAGACTCTATGGTTGGGGACCGCGAGATGATAGCAACCGATGGTTAGAGACCCTGAATGACATGGCTCAAAATCGTTTGCAATGGCGCAAGTGCATCCACTGTAGGGAGCAATTTCCTACTGGTTTAATTCTGAACTATTCTCTAGACCGTCGAATACAGAGTCTTGGTTTGGCCAAAGTCAGAACAAGCAAGCTGTTTGGCTAGATAAACTTTATTTGTTTCGAACACTAGTCAGAGAATAGGAAAAAATGAGTCAACAAGCAAATATTGCTTTACAATTAACATCAAACTGTGATTGGTTAATAAAGAGATACAGTAATACAAGGTCAGAGGGAGTTAATGTGGTGGTGGGCGTTTCCCTTTATCATTGGTGAGTCCGTCTATCGGTCACATTTCACATGCAATCTTTATGTTCTCCCAAATTCTAACCTTCTGTATTCTTTATGTCCTTTTTCTTTTCCTCTTCCCAAATTTATTTCACTGCATTATACTCCTTGAATAACATCTCCACGCCCTAATATATCCGATTACTGCTTATACTCGTACTACCTCTACTACTGTGGGATTTAAATCGACAACTGCATCTCTGTGCTAATGTGGTATGGCGACTCGAACTGATGTACGTACGTACGAAGTTCTACGTTGTTACTGACTGATTGACTAACTATAAATTATGCAATTACTAATTATTATCAGTCGTAACCTTACAGTGGTAATTTATGCAATTTCATGGAAACGTATATGGGGTATTTTGTTTGTTATAGATTTCCGTATCTGATGACCGTAGAAAATGAATCCATCCTCAATGCATATTTATCACTTAGCGCTGAAGAACAAAGTAAGGAATTTCCATATGAATATTTTCGTTATTTAATTCCTGTTTTCAATAATATTTAATGTACTAAGACTGTTGCCTGATGTTGACTAGATCAAGCGAATTGTAAATTAGCTGGCGTCTTGTCTTACTACGAAATCAAACTAACGTTACCAAATCAACCTTGAACTCTCAAGTAGGAGGTGTACATATATGTATGTAAATTGTATATAATGACTAGTATGTGTGACCTGTAATATGTTTCTCTTTCATTCCGCTCTGGTGTCATTTGCGATTTTGTGTTCCCAATTATTAACCAGTAGAACAAGCGTGTCAGTGGTTAGTAGAGATATTTTTCACCAGATTGTACTTTTTCTAACGAAACTGTTAATCTATTTCTCATTTTTATACTTACCCTATCCATGCTTTTTCACTCTCTCTCTTTCCTTGTGCAATAATTAGTTTGTCTTCTGTGATAATCGCGTATATTGTTGTTCTATGGTTTCTACACGTTAAAATTCAGTTTACAAAGAGTTATGATATTCATATCTTATCCTATTCTTTTTCTATAAAAAAATTATACAAAAACTATGTACTTCACATTTTGGTAAGTTGTTAGTTGATAGACATTTTGGCATTAATATTCATTGTACCATATAAAGTAAATAAATAGTGACAGGTATAGAGTCTAAATTGATTTTTCATTCTTGCGATATTTATCATTGAAAGAAGTTCCAAAGGAGCCTGTCAATTGTACATAAGGTCATTTCACTTGTGATCATGGTTAAATTTAGGAAGATTTTTGACGATATTTTTTCTTCGTTTTCATCTTATACTGATGTGAATGTGCTCCAGAAGATGAAATAATTTTCCGTCCGGTCTGCCATTATAATTCTTTTCTAAATATAGAAATTACTTATTTTTAAGTGTATTTTTTTTTCACTAACCAGATTTAATTAATTATTATTAACGTATTGTCATAACCATTATTTCCTATAATCTATGATTGTTTTGTTTACTTACATATTTCTCATTAGGAAATACATTTAATGAACTTGATTATAATCCAGAGGAATATGGGAAACAAGTCGTAAATTTTTTAAAGGCTGAAGCACTTGAAAAACAAATCGAATCAATGCCTTTATACCCGTCAAAACTTGGTAAAGAAATTAGTGAATCTGATGTTCAGAGAAATATGCTTTTTTATTTAGTAAGTGTGATCGTTATATTATGGTTAGCAATTTAATGCATTATATTTATCAAGTACAAGTCAATACATCCGACTTTGAGTTATGCTTACTTTTTAATAGCCGATGGTGATGCCCAAGTAAATGGATATTTTATTATTATTTAAACACGCTAATATTGGTATAATGATGCACGAATATATATGTGCCACACTTCATCATTCGATTTTTGTGTTAAGACCTTCCTGAATTATTTTGGTCCCTTCAAAATTGATCTTTGTCCTGTTTCCAATGCATGTAACGCTATCGTCGACCTATTCTTAAGTTTCTTTAGATCAACCGAGGATTCGGGAACATTTTTGTGTTTATGTTCCTTCAACCTCACATTCGATTGTCTTGAAGCTTCGCTCACATACGCAGCATTACAATCACGACAGTTGATCTCATAGACAATATTCTATTGTTCTTCCTTTGGAAATCTTGCACTTTTTTCCCTTCATATAAAAACAAATTAACACCGAATATCAACTATTAATAATTCAATTTTACACATACATATATACACATAATTCACATCGTGATTTTTTCACATGGTTCACATTCAACTGACTCATGTTCTCTTATTTACCAAAGTCAACATCTAAATATGATTGGATTAGCACAGTATAGATTTGATTTGATTGTAAGACGCTATCTATTTCTTTGATGATCTTGGTTCCGATTATTACCCTAAAGACGTTCAGACAAGTTCGCTGGACGAAACATTGAGATTATTTAAATTTCAATCTCTGAGGTTATTTCAAATACAATTCTCACATATAATAACTAGAAGCACATTGTTTTCATAGAAGGCCATTCCTGAGCTTTAAACCTACAGGTTTAATCCACAAGGTAGTGGAGCAACGTTAGGAGATGCAGTCCTGTGGTAGACAGTGACCAACAGTATGCTTATACACCATTTGTTCCCTCAGGATCCTGGAGCCCATGTACACCATTAGTTTGGAATCAGAGTTTCCCAATTCGTCTAGATGGGTCCTCCGTGTCCACCAACCGGTTTCAAGAGTCGGATATTCGCTTTTCGTGTTGTCACTTTCGTAAAGAACACCTGCGCCACGTGAAGGCAGTGAGTGGGACTTCGGTGGCAGTGGCTGTATACATGTGTCCATGTGGGAGCATTTCGAGAGGGAAAGCTGAATCTCCACACCCCCGGTCATTCCATAGCATCTGAGTGTAAATGGATACAGTTTCTGAACATATCAGTTAATGTTGGATGTCTTCATTACATAGCTTTTAGTGTTTTCATTTATTTTGTCTGTTGTTGTTTGTACTTTTTTTGGGAATCGATAAATATCTAAAAAACAATTAAATTTTTATACTATTTCTTTTAGAACTCATATTTTAAATGTTGAGTCAAATTGTTTATTTTCAGTCTGGTTGCAAATTCATGCTCTTTTATAATGTACTAATAAGTTTCACATATTGTGTATAGTTTGAAGTTGAATTCGACTGCTAAACTTTTTTTTAATGTTCTTAGATTTCATCATTCTGATCATATTTATTTACTCATCATTTGTATATTGTGCATGTAAAGAAGACTTGAATTCACTTGGTCAGACATCTGATCAATTATAATGACAATCGATTGTTGTTTAGAGTGTAATTTCACAAGCACAGTTTATCAAACAAGAATGACTTTTTATAAAGTAAATCTGCTTTGAATGAATTCATTCTGGAAGTTGTTAAATGAAAAGTATGATGATAATTACATTTATAGGTGTAAATACCCGTTTAAATGCATTGGGATCTATTTTTAAAAAGATGACTAAATTTATTATTCATGCAAGCGGAAATCATTTATTAAGCTGCTTATAAAAAAAATACATACCATTTTTAAAGATTTACTCAATCAGTTTTGTTTATTATTTAGATAAAAAGATTTTTTGTTTGTTATTTCTTTCCTAGGTATCCAAATATTTTATTGAATCTCCTGGTTCACACTGTACTCCTTTGGCAGGTAAATATCTACAACCACCATGGTCACCTCTAACTCATTCGTTCGTTGAATCTTCAGAAATTGATCTAGACTGTAAGATTGTTGACTAGTAATACGCATCCAGTACAAACTTTCTTAATCAGTGATATTTAATAATATAACATTTTTCTGATTATATATATACATCTATATGTTACTGTCACATTTTGTTTTGTTTTGTTCCCTAAAGTTAGTTCACTTTTTCTTCCTGTAATAACACACAGTTGTATTCAGAATTACTCTTTGTTAATTCGTTTTGTTGCTTGTTTACTCTTAAGTTTTTTTCCTGTGTATATCATAAGGTTACATGCTATTTTTAAAATTATTACTAACTGTAAAGAGAGAGAGAGAACATGATATGTAATATATGCATTAATGTTATAATTGATTTCTTTCGTGGTGAATGTTTACAATTATGCTCTTTATTTGTTAGATTATGGTAGTTATATATGAATAGTTTATAGATTAGACTAAGTTATTATTTATACTCTGAAATTGTTGTACAACTTGAAATCTAGTCGCATACGGTCTGTTTAAGTACTCTAAATCTCTTCTCAATTTATTTTACATCAGTCGAAATGCAGTTTGTTTCAGGTAGCTACGATAAAGAATAGAAAACTTGTTCTAGGTATATAAATTATTAAACGACGACTATTTGATCTAACATCTTGTCATCTACTTGAAATCCGTGCACTGTTTTAAGTAATGACCTGAGGACTGATATTCAAATATGATCAATTTTGTATTTTCAACCTGCAATGTCCCATGTCACTTGACCATATTGAGAAAAGCAGATATAAATATAGATCACACATATAACTTCATTTAGAAAAAAACGTTAACGACCTTAATGGGTTGGTGTTACGATCTTTATGTTGCATTTTTCGAGCCTTATCGATTCTCGGATCCAGATTTCCTACTACATCAAATGATTTGTCCTGCGTTTTGCTAATTTATCTAAGACTAAATTTTGTCTGGTAAACATAATGTATGTCAAGCATAATAATTCCAACCTTCTGTTGTTAGAACTCTTATTTATTTGTGACACAAAGTTGATTGGTACTGTAATGAAACAATGACTACATTCTGAAGAAATACAGAGAAAAGTATTCCAAATAAGAAATATTAACACGTCAAGATGGTTTTAACTGTTAAGAAACAAAATGACTTTTAGTCCTTAATACCCACATATGATTAATAGGCTAATAGAGACATTGTTATGTCAAACTCATACAAATTTTATCACTCAACTAGACAAATTATTTGTCTAAAAACATTTCATGGTCTAAAAATACAAGTTATATCAGTTTTACATATTTCTGGTAGTTGAAATCCTTCCAGATCATATATTCTTGGTCCTTCAGTAACAAAATTGAAAAACAGCTGTTGAGTCCAGCCAACATTACCTTCGTACCAAAAGCAAACTGGTACACGACTAAAACAATAAAGAAAGCGAATATTTTAATAAAATTAAATCATCATATCTCGTATCATTGTAGAGAATTAATAGATGGATAGGATTATTATGATAATCAAGATGGTATTACTGATTAATCAGGATCTTTAGTTACGGGGAAATGCTTATGGTGTTGGTGGATACAACAATGTAGGAATATGCTTATAGCATGTCAAAATGTATCAAAGTCAAGTCATTGACTAACTGCTGACGTAGGTAAAGCATCACATATGGGCATCGTGTCAGATGAGATGTTAAACCTGTAGGAAAGAGTAGTTTTATATTTCAAATTGTGCTATATCTGATTTGATCTTCAAATTAACAAATTTCGCATAAAAATTTTACTAAATAATAATGTTTGATTAGTTGACAACTATTTTCAAATTATTACACATAATCATAAAGATACTTTCAAAAGTATCTTCCGAAATGCTCCTCAAAACTTGATGAGTAATTAATTATTACTTGCTTACGCCTGTTATCCCATACACATCATCATACACATGTATTGATCCTTAATCAATATCTGTTATAATTTGAATTTCAAATAATTTAGGTTGTAAGCAGCTGATGAGAACCTAACGAAATAAAATGAATTCATATTATTCTGCACCAATCTTTGTTCTTGCTCTATTTAAGATAATAAAGGGAACTATGTGTATGAAATATCTATTATCCGTAGCGTTGCGATTTGGTCTGTGCATGACCGATCCTTACATAATCCAGTCTGTCGATCCTGATGTTGGGCGTCTACTGAGTTTTTCATTCTGTTCAGCAACACTGTTGAAAACCTTTTCTGGTACTGACAGTAATGTGATTCTTCTGTAGTTCTCACATTTGCTCAGATCTTTCTCTGGTATCTTGATGAGGTGTCCTTTTCAGTCTGTCATCACTCGTTTTTCCTCCCGAACTATTCTGAAGAGAGTGTGTAGCATGTTTACACTCACTTCCATGTCTGACTTGAGTGCTTCAACTGGTATATTGTCAGGTCCTACTGCTTTCCCGCTCTCGATTTGTCTGATGGCCATCCTGATTTCTTCGACCGTTGGTGGAGCGACATTTATGGGAAAGTATGCGTGTGCTGCTTCGATGTGCGGTGTGTTCAGTGGAGCTGTTTTGTTCAAGAGTTCCTTGAAGTATTCTACCTATCTGTTCCCCTGTTCTTTAATCTAGGTGATTGTCTTGCCTTCTTAGTCCTTGACCGATCTCTCTGGTTTATTATATTTCCCTGTCAGTTTCTTCATAGCGTCATATAGTTGTTTCATATTTCCTCCTGTTGCAGTTCTTTCCGCTGTCGTTGCTAGGTTTTCCACATATTTATGCGTTTTAGCTCTAATGCTCTTCTTCACTTCCTTGTTTGTTTCTTTATATTCAGCTTTTGGCTTGACTTTCTCTGTTCTTGTTCGGCTGTTGTTAATTGCTGTCCTTTTGACCTTTCTTTCTTGAATTTTGTGTAGGGTTTTGATAGAGATCCATTCCTTATGATGATGCTTCTTGCAGCCTAGATCCTCCGAACACGTCAGAGTTAGTGCTTCTTTGATCCCTTCCCAGTTGTATTTCATAGTAGTTTCTTTCAGTAGATCCTGTAAGGCTTGCAACCTTTTGTTGAGAGCTCTCTTGAATTCGTTGAGTTTGTCAGTAGTTCGAAGCAAGGCTGTATTGAACCTTTGTAATACTGTTTCTTCAGTTGTTTATTGCTTTTTTTAGCTGCAGTTTCATCTGGGCAAACATCAACTAGGGGTGATCTAAAGCCATTTCAGCTCATTTCCTGGTTCTCACTTCCATTGTTCTGGATTTTTTACTGATGCAAATATGATCGATCTGATTCTCTCTAGTGTGGTCCGGTGAAACTCATGTAGCTTTATGTATGCGTTTGTAGGGGATATTGTCCCACACATAACCACTTTGTTGAATGCACATGAATATGGAAATCTCTCACCACTCTCGGTCCTTTCTCCCAGTCAGTTCATGCCGTCGCATGATATTTTCATAACTGTTGTTGTCCATTACGAACGACTTCGGCGTTTAGACCTCCCATCAGGATGGTTAGATCCTTATCTGGGTACTTCTCTATGATCGAATGCAGCCTCCCGTAAAATTGGTCTTTATCGTCTTCATTTCTATCATTGGTGAGTGCATCATATTAGTTAACATTCATTGTGATCCCTCCTTTTTTGTTTTGAAGGATAATTTGATGATCCTGGATCCATGAAATTCCCATCCTGTAAGTGCTTTTGGTGGTTCTTTGAGCAGCATCAGAGCAACTTTCTAAGTGTGTGGAGCATTTTCTTTGTGACTGGAGTACAGTAGCATCTTTCCCGTATCTAGCCTTTTCTGTCCTCCGCCCGTAGCTTTTCTAGATTTACTGCCGATCACAAGCCCAGGTAAAGGAGGAGAGTCGGGCGTGCAGTTGGCAACCCCATCTCGTAGAAAACAATCCTGTTAAAAAAACGCCACCCATATTAAACGAATTAAACCACTTAAACTATTCCCTGAGAGTGGAAGGAAGAATTATGACGTCTCATGTTGAAAGCTGAGATTCTTAGGAAGTCATGAGGCAGATTTCCCTTCTAATAACCAGATCAACAATCTTTATAGGTATGTGGAACGTCTGGACATTAGCGACGGAAATGAGGAAATACAACTTCACAGTATTTGGAATCAGCGAAACCCGTTGGAATTAATTATATATGAGTGTAAATCATTTTTCATGATAGTCACACAAATTACTTGATATTTAAATGGAATAGGTATGAAATTTAAAACAATTAGTCTCTGATAAATTTTGATAATGTGATGATGACCTTCGTCTTCTCAGTGCATTATCGAAATGGATGGAGCCAATTTTAACAGTGCAATAATAATTTCAGTATTATGTGGAAATAATCAAAAGTAAAACAAAACCTCGTTAGAATTTTACTTAAAGCAAAGAATATCGAGATTTAACAATAATTAGTAACTACATTATATAAATGATGGATTGTTAATTAGAAGTTCGAACTACAATTAGTATACTCGTTTTGTAGAAAATTTATGCTGATCAGTGGTATGATATGGTTATTATAATACGAGTATTATGACTATAAAATCCTATATGTTGGAAAAGGGTTCTTTACGAAAAAGATATTTTCTGTATACACATCTGAAACATCATGTGATTAGGAAATCTTGGTTCACATGTCAGTTGGTTTACCAATTATCGTTCCGTGATTATTAATATTTTTAGAATTTAGAAGCAATTCTGTTTTCGTATTTAAGTCCTTTACCAACGTGTATGGTTGATTGGGTTCTATAGTAACAGGTCAGTCGAGATTGTACTGTTAACGTTGAGTGTTCATAAAGATTGTTCAACTTGAGGTTTATGTTAAGTTCTGACTGTGGCTAAACAAACTTTGATAACCAGAAACCAGTGGATACCCACTTATCCGTAGTACATGGTTTAGCAGTTAGCACCCACAATCTCATCAGTGAGCAAACATGGGACATTCAGACTGAGCAGAGAGTTGATAAATTTCAAATCGCTGACTTGACATCCACCCATTTAGATTTTTAACTTCAGTTCATGAGCCATCTAAATGAAGAATTTTTAAAAAGCTTTCATTTTATAATAATCACACACTTATTTGGATTAAACTTAGGTGAGAATTCCCATGTTTAAGGATCGTCTAGTTGAATTCCATACGTGATATAAGTTACCTTATGATTTCCTTTCTGACGTTTAAATGCTTTATAATTAAAATACATTATTCAGTTTAAAAGAAAATCATTTTATTAGTCACTGTGATTGAAAATTAATTTCTGTTCAATATTATTATAACCTGTTAAATGATCATTTTCTGGAGAGGATATTATCATTTTACTTTGGAATTGTAACTGTAACCCCTAAGGATTTTTTAAAATATTAACATTATCTGTTTGAATTCCATAATACAACAAAAGAATATAATGAAAATGAACTTGTTAATGAACCATTTATGATCATTTATAATATATTTTTAAATGGAGAATCCATTTCATAATTTGAGTGCTATATAATATTTATTAGCGAATTATCAAGTGAAATATCATGGATTTTTTAAAGTACAGAAACTGGAGAAATTATGTCTACAAATCAAAGACTATTTCAAACCAAGCATAAATATGTATAAAACTTGTTAGTCATCATTCGTAACTGAAAGTCTTTATCAATAACTTGATGTGTAAAATCTAACTTCACAAAATTACTTTGTGTCCGAATACATTAGCGATAATTTTTTCAACTATGAATCTAAGTGACGTGAATGTAAACTTAGAACTGGCATAAGATTTGATTTAAGTGAATATACACCTTGTTTGCGTTAACAAATCATTATTTAATATTTAATAACATCTCGATTCCTTTTTATAAATCTTCAACGTCTTATGAAAGAAAAGGTAGCAGAAAGATTAAAACTCATACTAAGCAGAAAGAATATATGTAAACAGAACGGTACAACAACTATTTATCATTTAATTTAAGGTCATCATTAGTTGGGAATGACGCTTTATATGATAGCCATTAAGTATTACCGCTTTCACTACTCCATCGCTTAATTTCTAGACTTTATGCTACAACATTGAAAATGCTGTTCACTATCAATATCTGATAACCTTAATATCAACAAATTTTCATGATATGATTATTCATTAAAATATCTTATGTACAACAGAAAAATTCTTGACATACTTTTTTGATTTTTCAACAGTCCATCCATAACCACCGAAAACTGAATGACTAGTTAATGAAGATTTATTTCTTTGCTTCAGATAATATTTATATTGATTTCCATTATCACATGGTATAACCCACCATTGAATAGTTTGATTCAATAAACCCAGTCCCAATTGTTCAGTTGTACCATTATAATATTTAGCAAACTGTTCCATGAAATTTCTCTTAGGTATATCAAATGATTTACGATATACACAACATGGTCCATAACCTGAATCAACTGGTGCAATTAAATAAGCTGTATGATTGAAGTTAAACAGAATACATGGAAAATAACTGGTTGGTTCAAATATTGGTACACAATAATCTTCATAATATTCAATTGCAATGTTTAAATCATTAGCATACCATGTCATACCACGTCCAACAGCATATGGTAATTGTGGCGGAATAATTTGTGGCCATGGTGGCAAAGGCATTTGATCATCATCTCTTGGTGTATAGTAAATAGAAAATTCAGTATAAAAACGTTCCGGTAAAATAGGTGGTGATGGTGAATTCACTTCAACTATTGAAGAACTTTTTAAGTTATGATGAAGCTGTAATAAATTAGAAATCGAGAATATTGACTTTATACGTAATGGTTAAATAAATTATCAAAAGAACATTTTTTAAGGTATAGTGAAGAGAACTAATCATTCAAGATTGTTTTATTAGTAATACTACGTTCAGTGACTTAGATATAAATCGAACAATTTTTAATGATATAAATAACAAACTGAATTATTGAATAAATTGGTTTAAATAATATGTGTCATCGTTAAGTTAACATTTATAAACAAGTTGGAATTGGAAATTTGTTGTTGGGATATTCAGAAAAATATACCAAAAATTATCCTGTTAAGTCTAATGCTATCCTTGAAAGTGAAATGGTGTCATTTTCCTATTGGTCAATATTTATTTCACGTGTCATTTTCCTGTTGGTCAATATTCACGGTAGTTCTAACTGTATAAATATACATTTGTTTGTAAAGTATCATTCCTATTCTTATTCTTCTACTGACCCCCAAAACAATTTCATCTACGGTTGGAGTTCTGATATATTGGAGATTGGGGAACAGTATTGGGGTCGTACTAGGATATCTGAGGTTGGTCAGTCGGTAGAAATTAGAGTAGCCACTCCGCGGTCCAAAATATTTGTCTTTTGTTTTTGAAGCTACATGTTAACTTGTTCACGAGAACCATCACTTTTCATTCTAAAGCAAACATGTTCACGTAGTTCTAAGTTGTGTATGTTCAGATAAACAAGAAGATATCAATGAACATTTCTCACACTTAATATCTACAGATGTAAAATGTCTTTTCCAATGAAACTAAAGGTAATATCGTTGATGTGTATTGTTTTTAAGTTGTTCAATAAATATCAGTAATCTGTGGATAAACTGGGTTTTTTTCAACAACAAGCTATCAAATATAGTTACCGATACCGCTTCATTTGTTATTATCTGGTTGTGTATAATTTTACTAGCATCTAACTTCAAAAGACTTTTTCGATGTATGATGGAGCTTCAAAATTGGTCCTTTTATTTTCAGGATGTAGCATGCCGATGTCCATTTGTAAGCGAAACTATTTATTGTTTATCTGAAATTCTCAATTTTTGTTAGTACCCATTTCCACAAATTTAAATATTAAGGTAACATTTTGAAAATATTCATTTAAGATTAGAACTGCTGGCTAAAAATAAAATCTTAAATATGGCACGAAAACTTTGTATGTGTTAAACTTTTGGTCCAGACATTTATATAATAAATAGCTTTAAGATCATACAACATAAAACCTTCAACTAGACAAAATTGACCTATTTAAAGTATTAAGATTGTGTAAATCCATATATACGTTGTTTTTATTGTACTATTTGTTAATCACAATCTATCAATGAAACGTTTAGAAACCTTTACTTGACTCCTTTACTTTTCAGCAGTTTGTTTTAGCTCATATTATACGGAGTATCTATGTTGAGATTCGGGGCTTCGAAAGTTGCTTGCAAACTTCTATGAAGCATGAGTGTTAATACTGAAGGTTGGGTTAATTGCTTTAATGTGTACAAGAATATTTCGAATAGGTATTACAGAATGAGCATACCATTTTTCTGGTTACCAGAATTATTGAATCTGATTTTAATTAATTACGGAAACAAGTTTTGTGAGAAAAAGTATATGTAAAGGATAATTGTATTTCGCTTAGCTAATTTCCATATAATGTTGACATGAAATTATTTCAAGTCTAAATGAATATTGCATTATTACATAACATTTTCATTTGTACCATCTGACACTATTAACAACTTAATATATGAACACAATTGAAGATGGATGATGTAACAGATATTCCTTTTCATAAATACTCAATTTTAATTATGATTAGACAATCAAATTAACAATGTTGACATATGTTTTTCGTGAACTATCAAACTTTCCAAGTCATTATTTTACAGTGTATATTTTTATTTTACCCTAATTAAACTATTAACATAAATAAAAACTTATAAAAGTTGGTTTTATTCAACAATAGACAACAAAATAATTTTATTATTCTTACCAGAAATGATGCATCTAATAATTGTATATGAAAAGAAACCCAAATCCAACAGTTTACTAAAATCCCAAAGATAGTCAACATCATTTTTCCATAAATGAAAAATAATTTGGATAAGAGATTCTTCTGAGTTACATTTGACAATTTGTCATCCAACCTATTTACTTATATATATATATACATATACATGAAAATACATACACTCTTTCATAAGCATAGGGGTATAATCAAATTGAATATTGTATTCCATGAAACTATTATTATATATAACTACGAATGAAATGTATTTTATTTTAAATGATCAATATATATGCACCAGCTTCATTTGTAATAACCTATCATAACACATTTATAAATGACATAAGGTTAAATGTTTATCTAAACAAAACAAAAAATGTTTTTCAAATCATCTATTAAACATTATAAACAAATGATTATAATTATGAATAATATTTATGAGTTTAGACAGTAACTACTATAAATGTCTTTATTGAATATTTAAAAAATAAAAGTGAAATTTATTTATTTATTTAAATGGTCAATAAATACATCAGCCAAAATTTATTTATAACATTCTATCATAAACTTTTATATTTGAAAAGAAGTTATTTTTCTAAACTATCTAAACCATTAAATAAATATACAAAGCAATTTATTATCACTATGCATTTAAACTATATTTGCCAAGAATGTTATGTTGTGTAAATGCATAAAGAATAGTTGTTAGGTAATATATATATATATATATATACGCCTGTTACTCCTAATGGAGCATTGGCCGCCGACCAGCATTCTCCAACCCACTCTGTCCTGGGCCATATATATATATATAATAAGTGACAACTGAAACAAATATTTATTATAAATCACTATAGTTTTTAAGGAATTGGTTTTTAGAATTTTATATTTTTAGTTTTTAATGTTATTTCTTATAGAACATTGTAGGGATAGTAGAATGATTTTTTATTAAATAGAAGCTTGTGTTCACTATTTATATTATACACAAAAAAGCGTTAATCTAAAAATAAAATGAAATATAACTTTGACATTTTTAAGTGAATGATTTTGATAATGAGGGAAAATATCGTTGTGATTTGGTAATGTAATGAAATAACAATATCAGGATAACTTCCACAAACGTTTAACATCATAGTGCAAATTTTGAGAGGAATATGTTAATGCTACTGTGTTCTTTGCAAGGATAGACGGTTCCGTGGTGTGGATTTTCGAAGAATTAACAAAAAATACAAAACAAAGGTTCAGTAATTCTTGGTTTTCTATGCAGCCACTGCCAGAGAAGTCCTACTGATTAGATTCTCGCGGCTATTTTCTTTATGAAATTGATAACACGAAAAGCGAATGTCCGACTCTTGAAACCGGTTGGTGGACATGGAAGATCCATCTAGACAAATCGGGAAACCCTGACTTCAAACTAATGGTTCACATTGGCTCCAGGATCCTGTGGGAAAAAATGGTGTATTAACATACTGTTGGTCACTGTCTACCATGGGACTGCATCTACTAAAGTTGCTACACTACCTTGTGGATTAGACCTGTAGGTCAAAGGCCCTAAGAAAACCTATGTGGTAATTCAGCCCATACACAAGTCAATGATAACTACTACAGGAAAAATTACTCTTGTTTCAACTCTCGTTCAGATAAATTGTATCCACAATCATATTATAACATTCATTTTTATTTCTTTTATACTCATCATTTATATACTTTCCTATATTCTCATTCTACGTATTTTGTTTTTCAACTTGTGCAGCAGCTCGTCTAAGGTGGAATCCCTGTCACTGACTGGTCGAAAGTTTGATACTACCACTGATTACGAATACTGAATCAGTCTTTCTGTAATCACGTATACCATTCAAACTGACCTCCTTCAACGTTCGTACACTAATACAAATCGGACAACAGATAGAGTTGACCATGTCTTTAGAAAGCTCAAACATAGATTTCTGTTGTCTATCAGAGATTCTTACTACAGACTCTATCGATGTACTACAAATTCCCTCTCCATCTTTTGCTTCGAAAAGCTTGTTTTACATGCGTTTATCTTGGTACCCTGTGGCATCTTCCGGTTTCGCTGGCGTTGGTGTCGCATTAAGCGCTAGAGCAGCACTGACCGACTGCATCTTCATTAACAGTTGGTTATGTGCTGTTAAATTAGGAAGTTCCATCGAATTGTGAAGAAATTGGTGTGAGAAACGAGGTCTTTTCGTCATCTCCTACGATCCTACGAATTGTAGCCCGAGTGCGATCAAGGATAAAGTTTACCACCAGTTAACAGTTCTCCAGAAAGTGCGTTCGACAAATGTTGTAGTACTAGTTTGAGACTTGTATACTAGTTTAGGTGGCCGATGGGGAGTTATTTGTCGCGAGTCAGATAATGGGGACCGTCTACTGCAACTGTGCACAAACTACAACCTGTTTCTGGCTAGCACTAACTACCGGCACAGTCATCAACTATGCGCTACATGGCGTTTCCCCTCTACATTTAAAGCCTAGACCCAGATTGATCACATCGCGATCAGCTACCGCTGGCGTAGTTGTGTACAAGACTGCTGCTCCTTTTGGAGTACTTATCGGGACTCATCATGCCCTTGTTTGCGCTAATCTCACCTTACTTTTCAGTGGCCAATGAAGTGGTCGTTACCAAAGGATTGATGTTAGCAAGTTGGTTGCAACTTCTGTTGCTAGTAGGTATCGAACCGAGTTAGCTTCTAGGCTAGTGTACGTAACTTCTTTAACTGAGAGAATTCTTTCTGGTTGTATTTCCCCTAACTGAACTGTTTCCCCCAGTATTATTATTACTATTTCACTTTCATACACTAATTTCCGTCCGTTGTTGTTCTTTTTATTACACACAGTTTACATTCTCTATCTCTTCACGATCTCATTCTTATTGAGTGGCGCATATGTATTTGATGCCCACTTGAACCACTGTTTATGTATTTAAATAAATATCAGTAACAGATCTCGGTCACCATCCAATTATTCAGTTTATAAATTTTGATCATTTAAACTGAGTAACTTCTATGTATTATTAATTCTACGGCAATTTCCATCAACAAAGTTTCCAATATGAAGCTGAACTTCTTGCTCAAGTTAACTTAGCTCCCAAAAATAGCAACATGTTAGCATAATTTTTCTAATAAAGTCCATTCAAACTGAATGTGTAGCATCGTGGATTAATGGCTTTTAATAATGCTATTTCAAACACCTTTTGGACATGATGTAACACGTTAATATATTAAAAGTTTACAAGCACCTCAAACGGATTTGGGTATGAAAATTTTGATAAGCGGAAAGGCTGTACCATAGCGATGTTTTGAAATAGCACTACTAAAACCCTTTGATCTGTTTAACATTTTGGAATAATTTTAGAATCGAATATAAGCCTTACTTTCTACTCTATCAGTGTGACTGGTTTGGTAAATACAAGTAAAATGATATACTTAGTTGGTAGAAACATGAAAGAGGGATCGATAGGTCTTCGAGTGGGGTACATAACGTTTTGTTCAGAGCAACCTGTTCCGATAAAAGATACATTCCCGTTATTGTAGACGTTGGTCTTCCGCCACATGACCCTGAAACGACGCCACCTCCAGATTAAGGTTGAATAGAAATACGCTATTTGTTTACTTCAGACTTTTAGCTTAACTTTTTCACTATTTCTCAGTAGGTTGCTGTAGAAACTTGTTGTTCCTAAGTAATGTTTTTAGCTTGCATTAGTTTCGCTTTTGGAATTATATGGTCTCTTCTGAACTGTAAAATATTATGACCAGTGCCTTCTAATAATTGATCTTTTTATTCTGATTATTCCATTTCCAATCTATAGATTTACTTTTAATGGATAATTAATTACGGTTGACTAATGACCAGTTAGTTCACTACATAATCGGCTAATTTTTTTCAGCCATACTATCTTGGTCGGTCAGTTAGCTACAACGTAGGACAAGGGACATATATACACCGGTCTAAGTTACCACACCCAATTAACACAATGAAATCAACACCAAATTTATAGAAGTAGTCACTTCAGTGGTAGCAGTGTATAAAAGAAAGATTGTCTACAAGGATATAATACAGGAAGAAAGAATTAGTTGGTAGAAAGAAAGGTATAAAACAATTTTAATCTCACTGTTTAAGGACAGACGAAGGGTGTATAAACCGACGCCATTGTGATCGATTCTCAACCATGTCACCCAGAGTCTCCAACTATTGGTTTTGACTGTCACGCGGACCCTAATCAAATAGTCTTAATCTACCAACATGGCTCAGATTAGAAGTTAGTGACTTTACAGACTGATGCCACGTTTTCGTTTGACCACACCTAACTTTCTTCCAACCATCTCCAACATTAGTCAGTACTGCACATCGTGGTAATCGGTGTTCAGCTATACGTAAAAAAGTCCCAACCATCTCAGTCGATGATATTTACAGCCTCATCAGCCGACTTACCCTAATACTCTGCGTCTAACCTCATTATTACTTACCCGGTGCATCCCAGAAGATACGAGCAATATTTCTAAGACATCTGCAATTAAACACTAGCAACCTACGAGTATCTTTTACTCTTAATGACCACGTTTCGAAACCGTAATATAGGACAGAATGAACTGCTGCACAGTATACTCATGCCTTAATTGATTGACGGATATCTCGCCTTCGACATAGGTGACGTAAATTGGCAAAAGCCAAACGCGCTTTCTCAATCCGTGCTGAGATTTCGTCAGACACCAACACAGTAGGGCTGATCAGACTTCCAAGATAAGTTGTCAACGCGTTCAACTACTTCACTCACTATCCTTAGTTCCGATGTTGACGCAGACCAGTCCTGAAGCAACAACATGCATTTAGAGGAAGAGAAGCGCATTCCAAACATTCTGGCATTGTTGCTCAGTGCTACCAAAAGATTGCATTTTATCAGTGTCTTCACCAAACAGGACTATATCATCTGTGTATTCTAAGTCGATAAGTGGATCTCGTGGTAGGAGACCAATGCCCGAGAATTCAGTCGATGAGAACGTTATTTCCATCAGTACGTTTATGATGAAATTAAACAAAATGGAGAAAGTGGACAGACTTGACGGACATTAATTGAGGTTGCAAAAGCGAGTCAAGGAAGACCACCATTGTCGGACACCGATAAGTATACCTGTGTTCTAGAATCTGACGAATGGTGAATGTGTAGTCAATGCAGCCACAACCAGGTCTGATGTCAGTATTGTTTTCAGAACTACCTAAGTGTGACCT